CTTTCAACAAGACGGCGCTACGTGCCACACAAGCAACGAAACCATTGATCTTTTACGGGAAAAGTTTCCAGACCGTGTTATCTCTCGGAGAGGTGATCACAATTGGCCACTGAGATCTTGTGATTTGACATCTTGCGACTTCTTTGGGGCCACGTGAAAGAGAAGGTCTACGCCAACAGCCCAGCGTCGATTCAAGACCTCAAAGATGGAATTCGTGAGGCTATCGAGGACATAGGGCAGCTACTTTGCGATTTGGTTATGGAAAATTTCATGAAAAGGATATGGTCCTGCAGGCGTGGTCGTGGTGGTCATTTGGCTGATGTTATTTTCCATTATTAACGGCATACCTTCCTTTTTATAATGAGATAAACATCCGATCATGTATCTTAAAAAATGGCATTTTCCTTTGAATATCAAAATAACACCTCTTATTGGAAAATTACAGTTTGATTTTGTTTTGTCTTACATCCTAAACCGGGGACATTTGGCCACTAGTAACTATTAAATTTTTTAAAAAAGGACCGAAATTTACGTCACAAAGTATAACAGTGAAAACCATCAGATTTTGTTCGGAAAGGGGTATGAGAATAAAACGAATGTGATTTTATGTAGAATTGGATCTTTAATCTAGAACCGCATCGAAAGACAAAATAATCGGGGCATTTTTGTCCTTGAGACAGATTTGAAATTTCCAAAAAGGGCCTAAATTCATGTCAAAAGATATAAAAACGATTTTTTTTGTCAGATTATTCTTTACTAAATATACCACTCGGAAACTATTCGTAAGACAAAATATTTGGGGGCTAAGTCGCTTTAAGACAAGCATTTTTGGAAAAAGGGCTAATATTTACGTCATTTTGTGTGGAACTGAATCTCTGATCTAGAACAGTATTGTAAGACAAAATATTTGGGGCATTTTTGTCCTTAAGACAGACTTGAAATTTTAACAACAGACAAAAAATTACATCATAAGGTATACAAACGAGTTTTTTGCCAGATTGTTCCTTACTAAATGAATTTTTCGGAAACTATTCATAAGAAAAATATTTGGGGGCCTTTAAGAGTATTTTTGAAGTAGTAGTATTGTAAGACTACAGTCTAAAAACAAAACTAAACAGGTTTTATGTGGACGGATGGTTACCGGGACTAAAAAGTGATGTAAAGTATAATATTTTGTATCCCTTTGTTCACAAGACAAACCTAATATTTACAGCAAAAAACGACTATTTTTATTTCTATATCTATAATAAAACTCCTTAGGTAAATTTAAGCAATAAGCTAAATACAGATGGGATGGTTGACTTCAAAAAGTAAATAATCGTGTTTTTTACTACTTATTTAATACAAAATTAAAATAAATATGCAGTACATAATAATAACATAGGAAACGAAAATAAACAATCAAAAATAAAAAATAAATCACTTTCATTACAGTCTTCTTAAGATTCGTTTTCAAAATCATCTGAACTTAGGACCCCTTGTTCTTCTATTTCGTCATCATCAGCTAAATCTTCCAGAAGAGTATCTTGAAGGTCCTCAAAAGTGGGAGGAAAATATAGTGCTGTATTCCATAAAGGGCTGTAACCTTCTTCAGTTAGTGCCCAGCCATTATTTTCTGGGTTTAGTGTCTTAAGCGAGTCTAAATCGCTTGCGTTATTACAGAGTGTACAAATAAAGTTACATCGGAGATTTTTATTTAGTAATACAGACTTACATGGTGGTAACAATGCAGGGTCTATATTTTTAATATTGGTAAATGGATTGGAAATATTTTTAAGCTTGTTCCATCTCAAAAATAATTTCATTCTCGCTAAATTTACTTGGCCACAATTAGTTTGACTATACATTTCACAAGCAAATTCTTCCCGAGTATTCAATACTTCTGTAGATATTTCACAAGATCTAAGAGAAAAGAATGCTTCTTGGTATTTAGGTCTCTTGGTGAGAATTTTAAAGCCACGAATTTGCCCCTTTCTGGCAAAAGTAGCAGTATAGTCGCTCCCAGTAAAAGCATGAAAGCCTGTCAGAGACTTACACAGTTGTGGTCCCAATTTTCTTGATAATTCTGAGACATTAATATATCTCCTGTTTTTTCCTACTCCAATTTCAAGCCAAACTCGATGGTATGGTTTTATAAACGAGGATTTCGTAATGTTACATAGAAATATTACTAAAACATCTGTGTCTGAAGGTTCTTATTACAATGTCTTTGTGAAAATTATCCTCTGATTTTCTGGGAGGTGAGTCAGTCTTGAATATGTTTTTACAATGAAAAAAAGTCTTGAATCATCTTCCCCATGTTCACAAGTTAACTCGTTTACTTTTTCTGAAAATCCATTTTTGTTCACAAAACATTTAGTTTTATATGTAATATACAATATTTTATTTATTAAAATATCCTTATAAGTATCATGCTGCCAGTCTTTAGCCAGGAATTCTGAAAATGACATTTTAAAATTAATATTTCTTAGGGCGTTATGAAAGTCACGATTGCTCTTTAGATGCGGCCCTTCTGTTTTCTTATTTTGAACCTCTCCATGTTTTTTATGGATGGAATCTTGTACCTATTGAAGATTACATCTATTCGATTTGCCTTAGTCGAACATAGCTTTTTCAAAACATACTTTGATAACTCTCCAAACGTTTCAGGTACTTTTGGTGGTAATGTATGTAACAGGAACATAGCGTTAATCACATTATAGAGTTCTTTAGGCATTTCTTCCGTTTGAATAAGTCTTTCGAGATGTCTTAGCAACTAAAACTTTTTAGTCTTAATCATGACTCCATCTGTGTGAACTAAAGAAAGAGGCAAAGGTGTTAATGAATATTTTAGAACATCTTATAAATGCAATTTATTTTCTATAGCCAAACAATACATTCAACCAAATATTCAACAAGTGAGCCCAAGTTCTTTAACTTTATTTTATTATTTAACTTTGGTACGTATCTTAACTTTAACGCCCTCAGCTTCAAAATTATTTATTTTCTGTTTGTGTATTGTCTGGTTAAATCTTTTATTTTCTTTTTTACATTCTTCAATGAAGGCAGTTCTTAATGTATATCCTTTGTTCATTGCACTGCGCAGATATTCTTTTGTGTTCATATTTGCAGGTTTACCCAATATTATAAAGTGACTTCTTCTCAAATAAAATGCTAAATGAGTTTGCCGATTCTTCTAATATATTACAAATACTTTGTAGATCAGCATTATCACGAATAATTCTAGACTTTTTCAATTCTTTGGAAACATCGTTTTTTGAGTTTAACCCTGCCATTTATTTTAGACCAGTTACTAGTTCTGATCTCAAACTTCGAATTAGTGTCCATTAGAGTGGTCGTTAAAAATTAATTCTTTTCCGACGCCTTCCTTTTAAGGAAAAAATACCTGGGAATTTTTTTTTTTTGAACAATAAGAACACGTGCCTCAAGCCGATTGAACATAAAATCGTAGTTTTTTTTCAAAAATCAAACGAGACCTTTTTTGTAGAGAATTTTATTTGCTACAAAAATGCTTTCGTTTAATTTTTTGATAAAGTTCATATTTATGGAGATATTCTCAATAATAAACTCATTAACTCCATAAAATCAAAATTTTTAGATTTTTTCTCAAATACGTCTACTTTAAGAGATATTTAAAATAAACTTCAATCGGCTTGAAGCACGTGTTTTTGTAAATAAAAAAAAAATCATCGTATTTTTTCATCAAAAAGAAGGTTTTTTTAAGGCGTCGGAAAACAAATAATTTTTAACGACCACTTTAGTGTCCATCGAACATGCGCTGAAGCTTGGTTCATCATCGATATTGCTGTAAGTCTACTCGCCGAATATCTGTGAACGGTATGCTCAAGAGTTTGGTCAATTGGTGCACCAGCAAAAGAAATGTTTGATCGCTTAAGAAGAAGCTGTTTTAAGCCAGGATATCTGGAATCGATGTCACTTAGGTTTTCGTGATAACGGACCATCTATTTTGCATAATTTAGATGATTAGTTACGGAGAAAAGATTTGTCATCAATGGCAAAAAAAATGTGAAAAGATCTACATCATTCATCCTTACGACTCTTGACATTTTTAAGTATAGATGTTTATAATCGATATACATAAATCAAAACTGAGCAGTTGACCCATCTTCTCCTGTACGCGAGGCATTGCAGAATAATTCATGGTCAGCTAAAAATGCTATAAATTCTGATGGGTCATTCGTTTTCTGAATAATAATCCCTATCTTGATAAATATACATTAAGTAAAGTTCGAATCCGGGAGAAAGTTATAAAGCAAGGAGATGATGTAATCTTTTGCATCTATTAAAATGTCTTCCGAATTATCTGCTAGTATTCCACTTTCACACAAAATATGAGCACATCCAGATTCGGACAAATATTATAAAATATTGGTGACTCTAATGCATTGCAGGTTTGACCATAGCTAAGTCGTAAGTGACAATACCAAAATTTTAACCACATTCATTAGCGATGCTATCTAAGTCTCTAGTACCATTGATGGGTTAGTAGAATGTTCATCATAATTCCGCAAATATGTCACCTTCTGTACCGCATTGTCATCTCCTACTGTTTTAGAGTTATAACCAATCCACATGGTATTGTATCTTTATAAACAAAATGTGAAAATCCCCAAAAAAGATCTCTTCTATCAGCATCTTTGAAACTTGCAGGTATTTCTAAAATAGTTCTGATAGTTCTCAATGTATTTTTAAAGAAACCGAACAGTCCTAATATACTTATCTAGATTTATGAACTTTTATTATTGTTACTCTATTTAAAGGTTAATTCATTGTTTTTAAATAGTTGTTCGATTTTATTAATGTCTTAATTATTTCTTTAATTTTGTCTTTGACTTTTTAACCATTACACCTTCATGCCTAAATCGGTTACCATTTAGTTTGAATTAAAATTACCGATGGGATTGTTTTTGTATTTTTAATTATATTTCTTTTTACTAAATTAATAAAATCTTTATTTTTTATTTTTTTTTTTTTTTCAGAAAAATTGCTTACATCCGAGGGCCGAGAATTACGACGAGCATTATTTTCACTTAAGCAAATTTTCCAGGAAGATAAGGATCTAGTTCACGAATTCGTACAAAACGACGGTTTATCATGTCTAATCAAAGTGGGATCGGAAGCCGACCAAAACTATCAAAATTACATTTTAAGAGCTTTGGGTCAAGTCATGCTCTACGTAGATGGCATGAACGGTGTTATGGAACACAACCAAACCATTCAGTGGTTGTACAGTTTAATATCCTCCAAATTTAGACTGGTAGTTAAAACAGCCCTTAAACTTCTACTAGTTTTTGTTGAATACACAGATTCAAATTGTCTACTTCTGATAAAAGCCATCCATACAGTAGACTACTCGCAGGGTGTTCTTCCTTACCACAATATTATGAAACTTCTTAAAGACTTCGATTCGGCCGATACTGAATTGCTGATTTACGCTATGACTTTGATCAACAAAATTTTGGGAGGTGTACCAGATCAAGATACGTATTATGACCAAAGCGATGCTCTTGAGGAGCAAGGTATTGAAACTGTTATCCAAAGGTACATGTCCAAACCCGGAACCGATTTGGACCTCCTTCAACAGTTCCAAATCTACGAAGCAGTATTACAATACGAAGACGGCGATGAAGGAATGACACCTGTACGACATTTAGATGAGAATATTAGAAAAACGATTAGAAACAGAAAGTCGGTGTGTGATTCTGGTGACAGGAGGAAGAGTAGGAGACATTCTACAGGAAACACACCAACTCGACCTAGTTTGTTAAGAAATAATATCAATAATAATTTGATCCTCCAAACCAATAGGGAAGACGAAGATGACGAGTCTTCTAGTTCCCAATCCTCTAGTATTAACAACACGCAACTCAATGGTAGTTACAAGGATAGTAATAAAGGTAAGGATTGTTTTAAAAGCAACTTTTGCTTTTTTATGATTTGACTGTTTTATGCTTTGCTTAGCGTTTGAAGCTGGTGTGACTCCTGCTTTGAAAAGGCGGCGCGAGCGCGCAGAGCGACAAAGAAGCTTCTTGAAGGAACAAGAATCGACGGGATTCTTCAGAAACTGCCTTCTTCATGAGGGAAAGAATGAAAATGAAAACGGTAGGTGCTTTTAGCTTTAATTTAATTATGCTGTAAACATATTTTATCACTCATTACTTTTAGTAGCCAGAGTCATTTATATTTTATTTGAACATTAAACCCAGAATACTAGAGTTTATTTTATAAGGATTTGAGGTAAATCAGCTTTTCAAAATTGTTTTATAAAGGAACTAGAGCTCTTTAAGATAAATACCTCAATAGTTAACACAATTAGAATATTTTAGACCTTTATTTTTTTTATTTTTGTTATATTTTAAACTAAAAGTTTTATAAATTACTGAATGTTTAATGTAGCGTTTTTACTATCATAATATACATGTGTATTTAATAAAAAAAATAGCCCTCGTATGTATCCAATAATTGACATAAGGTTACTTATAAACAAATCATACAAAATAAAGAGAACAAATTTAATACTGATATTTTGTCAATATTTTCCAATTATAAAGGGTGTCCCAATAAGAACTTGAATTTTGAATCGCGCCATTTCCGTCTGTCAAACATCAAGTGGGCCATATTAGGCATGTGTTCTGTCAAAACATTGACATTAACAAAAATGCCGCGTTACACTCTTGAAGAACGTTTATTAATTGTAAAGACCCATTAGAGAAAAGAAGAAAATTTTACAGGGACAATCAGCATGTTATGTGAACATTTCGGTGTACATAATCGTCAGTCGCGGCCTGCTATTAAAAATTGATCAACAAAATTGAGTGGACATTTGCAATGAAAGACGAGACAAGTGTTAGACATCGTCGCCGTGAGAGTCAGTGTTAACGAACATCCAAACATTTCCATCCAATATTGCGGCCAGGAATTAAATATCAGTCGCAGTACATTACAACGAATTTTGACAAAGGATTTGCATCTTCATTCTAACAAAATACAGTCGACGCAAGAGCTGAAGCCAGCCGATCATACACAGCGCAAAAACTTTGCGAATTGAATGTTGGAACAACACGGAGTTGACGATGCATTCCACAACAAAATTATCTTCAGTGATGAGGCGCACTTCCATTTGAACGGCTTTGTGAATAAACAAAACTGTCGAATTTGGGGAGAAAAGCATCCACATGCCGTACACGACCTTCCAATGCATCCTAAAAAAGTGACAGTTTGGTGCGCCATTTGGTCAGGAGGGGGATCATCGTATCTTATTTTTTCAAAATAATGAAGGTATCTCCGTGACTGTAAATGGTTATCGCTACCGTAGTATGCTGAGAGACTTTCTTCAGCCGAAAGTGAATGGAATAAACCTGCAACATTGCACGCGAAACAATCGCGTTACTGCAAACAAAGTTACCAGGTCGTGTTATTTATCAATTTGGAGACCAAAACTGGCCGCCAAGAAGTTCCGATTTGACGCCCTCGGACTATTTTCTCTAGGAGTATTTAAAAAGTTGAGTGTATGGGAACCATCATGAGACGATTCGACAACCAAGGAAGAAATCGAACGTAATATTCGTGAAATCCAGCTGATTTTGCTCGAAAACGTCTTTCAAAATTTCGTCAAACGAATATCATCTGCCAACGGAGCCACCGTGGCCATTTGACAGATATTTTGTTTCATGTTTAATGTCAACATTTCTCTTGAAAATGAAAATGTATAATTTTAATTACTGTGTTTTCTTTGTCATTAAAAATTCAAGTTCTTGTTGGTTTAGGTTAAATTATGAGGTGTTTAAACTACACTTTTTGAATTTATTTTCAAACCAAATTTTCTTTCCTGACCTATTTTGTAAGGTGAAGAGAGTAGTTTACTTCACGTAACTTAGGTCTTACTAGGCCTATTATGCATCTTCTAAGGGCTAATAGGCTCATAGGCTCATAGAACTTGCCTCTCAAATTGTCGAACTCCTGCTGGCTATCGCTGAGGGTATACATCCAGCCTCCCAGCTCATCAAAGTCCTACAGGTTATCAACTCTTCAAAAACCTGTTGGTTGTCGTTGTAAGGCCAGTCTCTGAGGTCAAAGTCCTACAGGTTAAAAACGTCGCCGAGTGATGTCTCCAAATGCCCTCATTTTTCGAAGTGGCCATTTGGTACCACCCCGATATCGTAAATGGGTAGAACTAGTCTGTCCTACAGCTCCGCAGGACACTTCCTGGTCTATTATTAGCAACAAGATTACTACCTCTCAGTTCACTCATAGGCTATTGAGCACTATTCAGAAATTGTTTTTTGATTAGAAGAAAACCTGCTTTTGACATGTAATGTTAGGACAGGCAGACTTCCTTATCTAAGTATTCAATGAGAGCCAATTTGCAAGTCTTAATGCCTTCTCATTCATTAAACCTTGCAATCCATCTTAAAAACCAATCCAACAAATTAGTTTATATTGCTTAGTTGTCAATACAGGTAACCTACTTAATTTTATAGTTCTTCGTTAACATTTAATTACAATATTATGATATATATTTACAAATAATAAAATTATACTTAAGCCTATTTTAAACTTAATAACTAAGGCCGACATTACAGTATCTATTAATCGGTTATATATAATTGTTTCCTCTTCAAAAGATAAGTATAGAACCCACTCACCCAAGGATCTGTACAAACTTGTACAAGGTACAAAGGTGATAGAGTGGGTGCTATGAACTAACATGGGGTAAAACACAATAAGCCAATAGGCTTCAGTGTTATTCGGAGACACATAGTCAGACGAGCCCAGGAAAAAAAAAAAAAAAACTAGTCCCTTAGAACTTTCTAATTGATTGTAAATGTAAATTAATTATCCACAATTTGAATAAAGTGTAAACTTTTAGAAACATGTTCAACTAATGGGTTACCTGTATGTTTGCATTAGTCATCATCTTGTTTCTCTCAAAAGCTTAAACCCATAAGTAAACCTCTAGTTTATAAATGGCAATAGTAATCCCTTAGAACTGTCTAATTTATTGTAAATGCAAACTAATTACCCATAATTTGAATAAAGCATCAAATTTTGTAAATATGTTCAACTAATGTGGATTTTACCTTAAATAGTTTAAACATTCATAAATTTTTTACAGGTTTTGCTTAAAAAATAAAACTTTTATTGACTTAAAAAATCATCGCTTGCATAATAATATTAATAGTATTAATTTATTTTTTAACAAAAATTGAACTTATTTATAGGTAATTATCCATTCCAACAGAGGATAGGTAATGGCAACGGAGTGATCAGGAACACCAGCCGGAAGGACTTGACACCCTTAATGAACGCCGTGAACAAATTAGATTCCGAAGAAAAACAACCATGGATGTATTCGATAATTCAAAACCAAGAAAACATCGAAGATCAAAAACACACGAACGAAAACGATCGAAACGTCTTAATACAGCTACAGCGCGAAAATACCGTCAAAGATATAACTCAAAAACTAGCTAACCAAAACATCATCCATAGCCCCACAGAAGAAAATAAAATAAACCGAATTGGCGATATGTCTGGTTTAATTTCGAAAGCAAAAGAAGGCTTAGCTAAGTCCAAGTCTAAAGCAGATGTCCTGAAGAGTCCTACTAGCGAGAATGTACCAAAGATGGAAATTAAGAAATCTGAGAACGAACTCAGATGGGAAGAATTAATAGCAAATTTAAACAGGTCTCTGAATTTGTGTGATATGGATTTTACTGATTTAGGAAGCGATGACGAAGTAGATATTTTGGCACCGGTTGCTGTAATTAATGGAATACCTCCACCCCCACCCCCACTAGCGAATATGTGTGGAAACGCTCCACCTCCCCCTCCCCCATCGAATAGGATAATACCCCCACCTGCAGCTCCCACTCCGCCTCTGTTTTGTCTACAAAGACCAAACAGGACAACGGAGACTAAGATACCCATTAAGAAAAACAAGAAAACTGTCAAGTTGTTCTGGAAGGAAGTCCGGGATGATCCGATTAGCCACCTTAAATTGAAGACGGGATTTATTTGGGATGAATTAAATCCTGTTTGTGTGGATACGCAGAAGTTGGAGCATCTCTTTGAGTCAAGGGCTAAAGATCTCATTACTAAAGTAAGTTTTCAGAATTTCAATATTTATTATGATTTATCTTTAAAAAACGATATGTGAAATGTAGCGGTGGAAGATCTTATAGAAAATTTTACATACTATAATTATATTTGATTCTTTTAAACTAAAAAAATTCTATTAAAAATAAAAGCATTATTTCTGTTTGATGCAACTGGTGGTTAATATATGCGCATAGTTTATTTGTTTAATATATTGCGGAGGCTTTGAAGAGTTGTTGGACTGAGATAAAGGATGTTGATAACAGTTAGTTCTATAAGTCATATAAAATCATTGAAACATTGTTTCTATTAGATATCACCGACCTACCTTTAACTACTTTTAACTAAATATAGCTTTGTAGACGATAGCATTCGTTCTACCAATTTATAGTATCTTTAAGACCATAATATTTTCTCTTAATTATTGATACCATCACCATCGGTGGTTCAAATATAATATCCAAATACTCCTAAATCAAAATTCAACTTCAGCGACTATAATATGTCTATAGACAATAACTTTATACCTGATGATAACTCCTTTAAAATAGTCGGTGTCACTTTCTCTTAAGACATCATTTGGCATAATCTTTGGTATTAATTATTACTGGTGATAGAAAGAAATTGGATTCATATTTAAAGCAAGGAAATATTTTACTCATCTAAAGTCCTTACGCATTATAAAATCCCAAACTTATAACCTAAAATATTTAGAATTCTGAAGCACCTACAAACCTTCTTTATGTAATCCGACCAATGAAGAACTCCAATCTCATCCAAAATTTCTTTTTTCTCGGCCATCGACGTGTAGTTGATAATTTCAAATACGATATGCCCTCAAGCATTGGCAATTTTAGAAACCTTTCAGTCAATGGTCCTCCAATAATGCATCAAGGATCGATAATATAGGGTGTCGTTCCACTAGGGCTTCGTAAAATGGCATAAGATGGCAGGTAACAGATGAAGCATAACTCTGCCATCTACAGTTTTTATTTTGTTTATCAATTTTTGAATTTATTCTTATTGATATCTAGAGTGTAGAATATAACAATCTGTTTATTATTTTATTTCATTAAGCAGTGGGATTCTCATCTTTTGATACGTCACGTATCGAGATGCCTCTCTTCGTTCGACATACTGGATTCGTATGTAATGTCTCTCTCTATTCGATACGTAACGTGTCGCACATAAGAATCCCTGTGCTGTAATGCCTAGTTTTTCAAACATGCTTAATTTTTCAACAAATCTCAACAGAAAAATTATACAATTCGTAAAATGTAACGCTTTGTTTGGTATTTTAAACATTTTCTTTTTTCTTTTTCCTTTGGTGACCTTCACTTGGCATGTACGGGTAACAGGAGGTGAGTTTTTCTATATCTTGGTGACGGAACGAAACTTTTTGCATCCTGCAACTTTTAGAACACTCCTGCAACATTTTAAATTAGAAATACTGCTAGAATATGCTACTTCTGTTTCTATATTCTATATTATTTTCTAATTATTTAGTAAGAAGTAAAGCAACTTTTTTTAAGCATAAGTAATTGCTTGCACCTATTTCCAAACTATTAAATATGTAAATTACATGACATTGCAACTTATGCATGTTACTTGCAACATACAGCATGGTTGTCCTTAAATGTACTATCCTCTATTTTCTCTAGAGCATGAGTATTATATAGAATCTATACCTATTGCATATACCTTAAAAATTATATAGATACCTGTCTTAGTAAGTTGTATTAAAAATAGTATTTAACAATTTTTAGAGGAGCTCAAAATAAATACAATTTTCTGTTCTCTTGTCATTTTACAATCTTTTTGAACTTCTCTAAAAAGTTAAACACATCCATTGACTTACTTCCAAGGAGTAATAAAATTATTGTTTTACAGAAACAACAGGAAATGAACAAAAATAAGGAAATAATAGTACTGGACCCTAAACGATCTAACGCCATCAACATTGGTATGACGAAATTACCTCCACCACGTTCCATCAAAACAGCCATATTGAAAATGGACGCGACAATAATGAACCGTGAGGGAATAGAAAAACTGCTAACGATGTTACCAACTGAAGAAGAGAGGACGAAAATCCAAGAAGCTCAAGCTTCTAACCCAGATATTCCGCTAGGTAGTGCTGAACAGTTTCTTCTCACATTAGCCTCAATTTCCGAATTACCTGCCAGGCTTAAACTGTGGGCTTTTAAGTTGGATTTTGAAAACTCAGAACGGGAAATTGCCGAGCCGTTAATGGATTTAAAGCAAGGATTTGAAGTGCTGCGTGTAAATAAAACATTTAGGGGAATTTTAAGTACTTTACTGTCTATTGGTAACTTCTTGAATGGGAACGAAGTTAAAGGGTTTCAGATTGAATACCTTGCCAAAGTACCTGAAGTTAAAGATACTGTTCATAAGCATTCGTTGTTGCATCATCTTTGCCATATTGTGATGGAGAAATTTCCAGATGCCACCGATTTATATTCAGAGGTATGTATTAAAAATACATTTAGATTTACGAGTAGTACAAGATTTCGAAATAAATCGACCTTACCTCGTCCCTTTTTCTAAATACAATATAATGTACAAACACAATGTGCTAAATAAAATACCTAAAATTTAAAAGAAAGAGCTGAATTTTTATAAACAAAACATCTTTGGTGTTATTAGTCGATATTATGTCAGCAACACATGTTTTGGAATTAAATCCTATTTTCTAATGCATTTAGGAACATATTAAACACTTTAAAATGGTCGAAACCTATCTAATCTTTTTATTTCTAATTGTGCGACCCACTCTCTTACTTAATCATCCAAACTTAAAATCCTAAGATCGGCCAACTTTTTCCAAACTAACCCTTTATTACTGTGTTCGTAATAAAATTATGTATATATTTATACAGTGTTTCTCAAAAGTCCCCTCCCTTCTCTTTTCTTTTGAACAGGTAATACTTAGACTGATGAAAGTTGGAGGGTGAAAATGAACTATTGTAAGCTTCTCTACTAATGGTAACAGGTGACGTAATAGGCACAAGTGACGTCACCAGGGAACTGAAACCAATGATATTAAATGGGACCTTATATCAAGTGACACCTCGTTTGAAAGGTATTTAGAATATCTATTCAATCATACTATTAAAATAAATAAACCCTAAAATTTGAGTTTCGCTTTTAATTAATAAAGATTCAAAAGTCAGCCTATGATTAATTGTCCAAAAAGCTGAAATTTTGTAATTTACGTTTTTACAGGCGATAATATCTTGAATTTTTAGTTTAATTATTGTTTAAAGAGACGTTTAAGTATCTACATAAACAAAATGGTACGTGCTCTAGCTGACAAAGTAACAGCTAGATTAATTATTGGTGAAAGTGGAAATAATTTTCATGTGGCGGAACGCATTTTTAATGAGAGATACCCCGATCTCCCTATATCGAAAACTTATTTGAAGGAGCTTTTTAAAAGTTTCAACAAACAGGTAGTGTTCATGATGCCAAACGATCGGGACGACCAAATATTGGAATTGATACACAAATTGATATAGTTGCAGAAATTATAGTAAAGCCTACCTCATCCACAGCCCAAGTTGCGTCTAGCTTTGGAGTCAGTCATAGTACAATACACAGGGTGTTGACCAAAAACAAATTTCACCCATACAAATATGGTGCGTTAACTTTCAGATGACGACCATGACCAAAAGCTGGAATTCTGTGAAAATATGTCTACTAAAATTCTTTAACAGCCGGACTATGTAAGGACAATTTGTTTTAGTGACGAAAGTACTTTCTTCCTTAATGGAGATGTTAATACTCAAAATGTGAGGTATTGGAGTGATATAAATCCTTACATGTTTCCCATTAAAAGTAAATGTCTGGGCAGGTATTTTGGGAAACCACATAGTCGGGCCTCTTTTTTAGACTCTAATTTAATTTTAACCGGTAAAGTTAATCTCGAGATGTTATAAAACGCAATTGAAGCGTTAATTCTTCAAATTCTGGAAGATAATCCAGATGAATCTGGTAACTTGGAAATAACGTTCCAACAAGATGGTGCTCCTGAACACTATTACTTTGCAGTAAGACCTTATCTAGATGAGGAATATCCTGGTAGATAGATTGGACGACGCAGTCCAATAGAATGGCCAGCTCGGTCACCTTTAGATTTTTTCTGTGGGGATATCTTAAATCTAAAATTTACGCTACAGCTCCTGACAGTATTGACGTTTTAAAACAACGAATTGTTGAAGAATGTATGGCAATTTAACCTGACACATTTAATCGAGTCCGACAAGAGTTTGATAATAGAATGTTTTACTGCTAAGAAGTATATGGAGCACATTTTGAACAATTGTTATAAGAACTTATTATAATTTATTAATTAAAAGCGAAACTCAAATTTTAGTGTTTATTTATTTTAACTATCAAAAACATCCTAACTCCAAAAAAGATAGTATGACTGAATAGGTATTCTAAATACCTTTCAAACGAGATGTCACTTGCCATAAGGTCCTTTTTAATATTATTGGTTTCAGTTACCTGGCGACGTCACCGATACCTATTACGTCACCTGTCACCACTACTAGAGAATCTTACAATAGTTCATTTTCACCCTCCAAATTTCATCAGTACAAGTATCACCGTTCAAAAGGAAAGAGGGGGAGAGGAGACTTTTGAGAAGCACTGTATATAAATGATTATGGTAAATTACTTACATCTGCTTCTGTTTTTACCTGCCAACCCGGTATTAGGGCCAAGAAAAACGGCGTTTTATTTACATCTTTTACTTTCAATTGGTATTATATGTTTCGAGAAGAACCATTACCGTAAATATGGATAAAAATATCCTGGACTGGATATGGAGAGCCAACCCTGGCACGTTGTGTTCATTTTATACATTTTATTGTATAAAAAATATATAGGACGAGGGAAGGTCAACTTAAGTCGGCATATTAATCTAATTTATTGAATATAATAGAATTAGGGATGTTGTTAAGGCTGCATTTATCAAATATGTTCTTTATTATTCAATAACTAAAGACAAATCATCATGACAAACTTCAGCTTCGAGCAACTCGTGCAAATGATAAAACTTTACTTGAGAGACGATTCGCGGATTGCCCCTTTTTTACGGTTTACGTGGTCGTTCTTCCCAGTTTACTATTCAGTGTTTGGTAGACAAATTCGAGTCTACCGGTTCAGTGAAGTCAACGAAAAGCAAGATCTGCCGAAAACTTTGCCGTTGTCTTTTTGCGTAAAGACTTGGGCCTGCATCCGTACGAAATTCAACTGACCAAAAGTTGAAGATAAACGACAATAGCGAACGTCGTGTGTTCGCTGATTAGGCACAGGAGCAGTTAGCAGTAGACCATGATTTCATCTTCAATAACGAGGCTCAATTTTGAATGAACGGGTACGTCTACAATCAAAATTGTCGTTGAGACGATGCCAATCCGTATGAGGTCCACCTAGTAGCAATGCATCTGCAGAAAGTCACTGGTATAGATTTTGGAACGGCAGCATTAACGATGATGACTATTCAATCATCATCAACAGAGAGCACTACCCATCGATGATAACCAATCTTTTGTGGCCCAAATTAGATTATATGGATATGGACTACATTTGGTTACTACAGAATAGCGTAATGTAGGTACCAAACAGCTACTGTCACAATGAACATTCTGCTCGAGCAATTTTAGGGTATGGCTGTCCCATGGAGTAGTAACGTTAACTGCGGAGATCCTGCGATTTGACTTCGTTAGTCTTTTTATTGTGCGGTTTTTTTAAATCGCAGGTCTATGGTAGTTTGCCGCAAACGACCGATATCAACAAAGTCAACATAAACCATGCTATCGTTTAAATTCAGCCTGATCTTTGGACTTACACTGCTATCACAAGATCTATGGTAACATATGGTGCAGTTGTCTGGCTACCAATACTCTACAAATTAACAGCTAATCGTAAACTAGAACAAATTCAAAGAACAGCATGTCTCAACATAACAGGAGCCATGAAAACAACACCGACCAGACCCATGGAAGTTATTCTTAGTCTAACTCCCCTTGATATTTACATCAAGGAGGTTGCTCTGATGACAATAACATGCCTCCGTACGGTTGGAATAGAACCTGATGTAGGATCTGGTGAGGCGAGACGTCGCTTTTGGCAAGAGGCGCTCGATACGCTCCCACTGCTTCAAACGAACATGGACACCATCTCACCGAGGTATATCTTTCATAAGCTATATAAAGTTATAACAGAACAAATAGAACAGCCGGAAGTGGCAGGTACCATTCATATCTACACCGAAAGGTTCTAAAATAAAACAAGGCTCAGGATGTGGAATATACTCCAGATTCTTAAACCAAAACATAAAATGGGCTGTTAGCAATAGTGCCAGTGTAGTTCAGAGTTAACGGGGCTTCACATAGCAGCAAAAGAAATCACCAAAAACAATATCACTGGAAGGAACATGCTTATCTATATAGATAGCAGACAAGCACTACTTACCCTGAACAGACCACGAATTTACTCAGGGTTAGTACTGGAATGTCACAAAGCTTTGGCCGAAGTATCTATCTTCAATGTGGTCACCTTAAGATGGATCAAAGGTCACGCCACATCGAAAGGTAACCGTCTTGCTGATTCACTAGCCAAGAAAGCAGCCAACCAAATAGTTTTTGGACCTGGCCCTTCTATTGGCCTGACAAAATCAGTAGTGACAAACCTAATTAAAGAACATTCCCTTGTGAAATTCAAGGAAGGATGTAATGAAACAAGAAACTGCAGAGTTGCCAGGGAGCTCTAAAGTTATCCTAACAACACTGCAGCAAACAAATACTTGACTATGACCAGACAGAATCTTCGCCTAGTCACAGGCATTCTGACTGGTCATTGCCAAGTACGGAAGCATCTCCATATCATGGGGCTGTCAGAATCCGCACTCTGCAGAAGGTGCAAACAAAAAGATGAGACTATTGAGCATATCCTTTACGATTGCTCGACGCTCTTATTTATTAGAAGATTTGTGTTCGGCGAGTATCAGCTAACACCGGCCGATATAAGAGAAGCACCTCTTGGCGACATTGTCAACTACATTAAATCTGTAGGCTGGCTCACGTGCCTATCATCTTAGGAGGATGCACAATGGACCTAGTAAGGCCTAAGTGCCGTGGGGTCACCCACCCTCCACACGTTACATATACAGATGATATGGACGACATATGGTTCCTACAGAATAGCGTTACGTAGGTACCACACCGCTACTGTCACAATGGACATTCTGCTCGAGCAATTTTAGGGTATGGTTATCTCATGGAGTGGTAACATTAACTGCGGAGATTCTGCGATTTGACTCCGTTAGTCTTTTTATTGTGCGGTTTCCTTAAATAGCACGTCTATGATAGTTTGCCGCAAACGACCGATATCCTCAAAGTCAACATAACCCATGCGATCGTTCAAATTGAGCCTGATCTATGCGCCAAAGTTATCGAAAATTGGATCTCTCGGATAAGCGCCATTTGAAAGATGTCATATTTCACACATAATGTCATATTTCACACATAATGTCATCGATAGGCCTTTCAAATAATGTTTTATTAAACGTAAAAATCTACCCTCGCTTAATGGAAAATCTATGTAGATACTTCCAAAAGTCGTCGTTTGTTGTACTAGTCACTTTTGTAACTCTCAAAACCAACAGTAAAGCAAGTTACAGATTTTTGAATTTTGGATGTAACGGCATACATCTGTACAAAATTAAGAAAGTTAGGAAATATACTAAAGCTTATTGTGGTTTCTGTTAAATAATTTTTATATATTCTGATCATTCGTGTGTAATTTAATTGATTAACTCATTTTTTTATAGCTGAACCCATTCATCATAAAGATGCACATAAGAAACGATGAATAGTACGAGATACCTACCTATTAAAATTTTCACTAAAAATTACCTTTTTATTTAATATTTGATCATTTGTATCCTAAGATGCAGAGAAAATATGTCAATTAATTACATCTGAACATACACTCGTTGTAATTCAAGTTCATAAATGCATACATTTGAACGAATTATTTGTAATTAGATCACGATTAATCCGACTTATAATTTACCAAGTTTAATTTACCGTACACTATTATATCTGCTATTTAAACTAGCGTGTATCAACCTTGACCTGTATGTGCAAAAATGCTCATTACTAATTTACATTTTGTATCTAGATTGGGGCCATAACACGAGCGTCAAAAATAGACTTCGACGAGCTCGCCCTCAATATTCAAAGACTGGAATCCGATTGCAAGGCCTCCTGGGATCACTTGAAACTAATTGCTAAGCACGATGGATCGACAATGATGAAAGTCAAGATGTCTGACTTCTTGTCGGATTGCGCCGAAAGAATTATCCTTTTGGGAATTGTTCACAGGAGAATTATGAATAGGTGAGTACCTACCGAGAGATAAAGTTGCCCTGATAACTTTCATGCATTATGCAGTTTTCATATAACATATAATACGGTGTTTTTCTACAGTAGGTAACAAATAGGTAATAAATATTTTACAGACAAATAAATTTTTCATTTAAAAATAATCTATTTATAAATGAGAGTTCTATTTATCACATTTTTCATGACAATATCTTTCAACTTTTTTTTTTTATTAGGAGCTGAAAACAAGCGCCCTTCCTAAGAGGTGCTCTAAAAGAATGTTACTACTCACAGACGAATAAATTTGACCTTGAATTTTTGTTTTTCATGTAATAAAATGTAATGGTGTTTTATGTTAGTAAGAGTTGGTTTGAATTAATTGTTTTAATAATAAATTTCAGGCATTTGAAAGTTTTATTATCGCCATTAAAATAGAAATTTACAATATACTGCAAATATCCTCTAAAAAGTGTCATAACAGAAAAAATCAGACATTTTAATATTTATTTTATTTTATTTATGCCACTGTTTTGCTGAGATTAATAATTATTAACTTTTAAATTTATTAGTCAATTTAGAGCCTATTTATTTATGGGAAGATTATAAAAATCACTTTAAATTATAACAAAAATAATAATCTTTTTAAACCAAACTGAATAATTTCCTAAAATACACATTTTTTACTGTTTGAAGATAGTTTAGGCAATGAAACAAAATGCTACTCATAGTCAACAGTGATTTATTTAAATATTTTAATTTTTATAACAGTTGTCACGTGAAAACTTTAAAATTAAGGTTGACTGGTATCAAAATCAATGCATATTTATAATATCGAGTTTTTCTTTCCCATAGAAACGGAATGAAGGGACAATAGATTTTGAAGGGTAATATCACTCAATTCCTAATATTTAGTGAATATTTTTTTATATTGTCTTTATCTACTTTAGAAGAACATTGTATTGTGCATTTATCACCACGTGGTGGTTTTAAAGTTCTTGCTAGAATATGATGTTCTCGATCTAGAAACATAAGACTAACCAGTACTGCGCATTTTTTTCTACTTTAGTTATTCACTTATCAACTCTTTTGCCTTTCCCTATAACCCTATTGCCTTCTTCAGCAAAACTATCATTATATTCAATTATATCCTCTCGATTTTTAATTAGAATAGATTCAATTAGATCAGATTTGAATATTATTTGTCCTTGTCCACCGTCTTATTGTCCTATTGTAGGATTCTAGCTTGGTTTTTTTTATTAGACGTAGCTTTGACAGTGGCTCCTGCATGCAGTTTCATGCGTTTGGCTTTTTTTCGCCTAATGTTAGAAACCTCAATCTAGCCAGGCCCTCACACTGACACATAACCTACAAAATGTTGCTTCTGCTGGATTGATAACACTCATGTGCCTTCTATGGCAACTGTGTCTGGTAAGAAGACCTACTCTTATCCTAATGATTTGACGTATTTGACCCAGTATGTCTTTCGTGAACATGGCCGATGGTTCCTTGATGAACTGCTTGGCCTGTCTCAGTCATGGATAGTTGTTCCACTATTCCTAAGACTCTTTTTGCATTCATTGTTTGATGGATGTCTTGCAACTCCATAGAAGGATTCGGGGCTTGTCGTGGCCTTATCTGAGCTTAGCTATGTCAGGTTTTGCTCAATGTTAGGAACCCTAATCTAGCCAGGTCCTCACACTGGCACAGAACCTACAAAATGTTGCTTCTGCTGGATTGATAACACTCATGTGCCTTCTATGACAACTGTGTCTGGTAAGAAAACATACTCTTATCCTGATGATTTGACGTATTTGACCCAGTATGTTTTTCGTGAACATGGCCGATGGTTCCTTGATGAACTGTTTGGCCTGTCTCAGTCATGGATAGTTGTTCCACTATTCCTAAGACTCTTTTTGCATTCATTGTTTTATGGATGTCTTGCAACTCCATAGAAGGGTTCGGGGCTTGTCGTGGCCTTATCTGAGCTTAGCTATGTCAGGTCTTCTAGGAAGTGTTTCACCAATCGAGATTGTATTTCTGGTGAAAGAATTGCTTTTAGAGCAGCTTGGCTCTCAGAGTAGGTGGCAATAGTTTTGCCTGTTCTTGTACAGTCTTCGATGGCTATAAGGTATATAGTACCAAGCCAAAGACAGGAATCTTACTGAGCTTAGGTAAACATGCGACAGTATTCCAGGCAGAAATTGCAGCAATACATCACTGCGCAAAAGAAGTATTAAGACAGAAGGTAAATGGAAAAACCATAGTCATATACTCAGACAGTCAAGCGACGTTAAAATCACTCAGTTCCATGCAGGTACACTCAAAGCTTGTGTGGGACTGTTTGGAAGCCCTAACAGAGCTGGGTAGTCAAAACAGACTAACCTTAGCCTAGGTACCAGCCTTAGCCTAGGTACCAGGCCACAGGGGACACAAGGGCAATGAAGACGCTGATTTACTAGCCCGAGAAGGAGCCTCAAATGCTCTTATTAGCCCAGAACCCTTCTGTCGTGTAACAAAAATAACTATCAGAACATGCACAAAGCAGTGGATGTTTAAAAAATCTCAGGAGTGGTGTAAAAACTCACCAGGACAGAGACAGGCCAAAAAGTTCTTAAAAGGACCATCGTCTAAACTCACCGAGCATCTACTAAGCCTTAAAAGGAAAAATACTAGAATACTAGTAGGTCTATTAACAGGGCATTGTAGGCTTAACAAACATATGTACAATATCAGTCTGACAGAAGAAGCCTTGTGCCGATTCTGTCAAGAAGACGAGGAAACGGCAGAACACGTATTGTGCTACTGCGAAGGTCTAGTAAGACTGAGATTCGTTACACTTGTAGAAGAAAAACCAAGGGCAACTAGCTATACCGGAGAACTACTTTCCAGTCTAGTCTGTCTACTACAAAAGACCGAATTAGACAAGGTACTCTAAACAATGATTAAAGGATATCCACAATAGATCTGAAAAGGTCGAGGTGAGGGAGGCCACATGGCCCATAGTCCTAATTAAATCTTAAATGGCTATTAAGTCCGCCTGGAACACTGTTTCATATTCTCCTAGACTCAGCGAAATCGTTGTTTTCGACTTGGGTCCATATATTCCAGCACCGGCTTTAATTGGTTTTTAAACCGTCTGTTTACCAGACTAGTTCAAACTGTATGGGAGGTTACGGTTTCCAGGATTCTTGAGCTGATATTTGAATTTGAAAGTTTCTTTCAAATTTGTATGTGGTTATGGCTATAACAGTAGGAATTTCTAGAATCTTATCCTTTTTTACTTGCTGATGTAGCCTCGTATGATGTGAATGAATGTGATTATTCAAATAATTTTCTTTTTCTTCAATATTCTGATATCTTAAAATTCGCGGCCCAGGAAGTGTTGGATTCGTTGCATGAAATGCAAAAATTGGGCACATTGTAAATGTGCTGGATTGTCCCTGAAGCTAAAAAGGTTCATTTGTGAAATTTGCGAATATTGATTTCTTATTTTGTTACTTTCTCTACCTATTTTTTTTTTAATTGTTTATACCATTTGTGTCATTTTACACACATACATGTTGTAAAATGACATAGTGTAAGGTTATTTTTTATTTTGTTTTTTTTACTAGTTTTCATTGAAGCTTATCAATAAAGTATATTGAAAGGAATTTGTAACATTTTTTCCAGTCCGATATCTGGTATGATCTGTACAAAAACAAGTCTCAAATAAAAAGTCATTTTAGAACACCTTCCCCTATGTTATTTATTAGTCAACGTTATTTTGTTTATCTTATTTCTTGTATATTGTTTTCGCCAAGTTTATTTAAATTTTTTCATTATAATTTTATGTATATTTATTTCAGGTTTCATAAGTTTTTACTTTGGTTGGGGATCCCCCTGCATCAGATCGCTGACACTAAACCAAATGAGTTTTGTAGAGTGGTTTCAGAATTCGCATTAGAATACAGGACTACTAGGGAACGGGTTTTGCAGCAGCTAGAAAAAAAAGCCAATCACAGAGAGAGGAACAAGACAAGAGGAAAAATGATAACAGAGGTATTATTTTAAATTTATTTTATGTCGAAGAAATTATATATTTGGTATTATACTATGCAAACAAATAATCATTGAAAATTACATTAGTTATTCTTTATTTGACAATATTTTCAAGATTTTTTAAATTGATTATAAATAATAGACAATAGACAATAAATAAACAGTTAAAGTTAAATATTAGATATTATTACTTTAGAAAAGTCTAGTTCTAGATATTTGAGTTTTATATATTAAGTTAATGATATTTATTATATATAAATACTAACCAGTAATTTTTTCTTTACTAATTTAGTTTACCCAAGAGTTGGGATTAAATGTAAGATTTTTTTATAACTATTCTTCAGAATATTCTTTAGATATAGTACTAGTCGCCCACATGGATATTTTCTATTTTACGCACATACTACAGAATAAACAAGTAGGCCATTGCATATAACTAATGGCGTATTCGACTACCTGCACTAGTGCGCACTCAGCTCGCATTTTGCGAGTGCAGTGCAATAATTTATGTTCGGGTTGATTCAGCTCATAAGCGAGCAAATATTTCCCATGTTCGACTACCCGAGCCAAACGCGGGCAGAGCAATAATTTGTGTTCGGGTTGTTAGCTTGGTTCATCCAGCGTTCGAACTTTTTGGAACTGTAATTTTTGGCGGTGCAAGTAGATTGCACTGGATTTTTTATGATAAAATAACCTCAATTTTGAAATTGGTCTTTCTTTGGCGTCTTTTGGCATCTTCCATAACTATTGGCTCATTTTCATCATTTAACACTATTTCTGTAAATTGTAAAATAGAAATTCCGGAAAAGAAAATAAAATATGGATAGCCTACAGACACATAAGTAAAAAAAAATAATATTTGATGATAAATTACAATTTATCAATTTGAAGATTAGGTGAAAAAATAAACAAATAATCGGCAAGTGAAATCGGTGCGAACACGAACGCTTCAAATCGGATTTTCACAGAGCCAGCTCAAATTTTTGAAAATTCGCACTGCCCCAGCGCGCGTTCGAATCGGCACTATCCGCTCTTGATTTTACATTGCAACTGCACTTTCATGTTTCGAACTTGATCGGAGCCAGCGCAGGGTAGTCGAATACGCCATAAAAGAATATAATTTCAAATCTATTTTAGTAAGGACACAAATCCACCAATCACAGTTCATATTTGATGACCGGGCTACTATTGTTTTTTAATATTTTAAATAAGTGACATTTCTATCAAACTAATTGAGAGTATGTTTTTAGTTACCTTTTGAAAAATCTATAAATAATAATAATCCACATTCGGCTATATTTATAAATAAAACATAAATTTTAATCAAACTATCTAAAACAAATCTAATTATTAATATTAAAAAAAGAAAATGTTTGTCTTATTGGCGCAGAAATAGGGTACTAAGTTCCCATGCAAAAAGGCAAGGATTCAACTCCAGGATGACAAATTAAATGATTTTTTTTCAAGTTTATTTTTTTATAAATTGGTTAAAATATTAAATTATTTTTGAAAGCTATTTTATAAAAACCTCTAATTTTAAAATTTTTGTAAATTTTCGTTAGTGGGGTTAATAAATGGACTGTATATTATTATTCTTTTATTTTTTATTCAAACTATTAAATATTTTAAATATATACATTAATAGCTCCTAGTGAACCTCCTAGGAAACAAAACACTAATGTGTTTACACATACCCGTCGTAGATATATATCACACCAAAAAGACCACCCAAACTCGCCATATTCCGGGAGGGTTAGAACAGTGGGCTATAGAAAAAATATACTGAACAACTTAAGTGAATTGTCCGTATCGCACTCAGATGATTGAGCACCCCGCCTACGGAGTCATGCTCGAACTTCTTCTTTGTGCGATGTGGCCATCATATCCACTCTTGTTGCACAAATCACTGTTCTATTCTTAAATACCTTCTTATTGTTTCCAGGTAGGAAAATTCAGAACGAAAGAAGACAGAGCCGATGCTGAACTTCGTCAACTCCTAGGCAGCGATATGTCCGATGTAGAGAGTTTACAAGGCACGTTGCCTTGGAGAAGGACAAGAAGAGAAAGTAACCGATCATTTTTAAGTCCAGGAAATGGAAATTTGACAGACGGAGATGACGAACTGCTTGAGAGCTTAGTTAAAAACGCGACCAAAGGACCCTCCACCAGAACAGCTCCGAGGGAGAGGAAGAGAACAAGGCATGCTGACAGAAAATCTCGTAAGTATCTTGTTCAACAGTAATTCTAAACTACTTCATTATAAAGATGTCATTGTATTAATGTAGGTACCTAAATAACTGGTGAATCAAATATGAACAGACCTTTATTACTTTTTCATTTTATTTTACGTCTTGGTTACATTTAAGTTGGACCTATTTACTTGTTCTATAACTTTTTATTGAATTAGCATTACAATAAATGAAAAATATTTTTCTATATAATTCCCTTTTTTCTGAATACATTTTTTCCAGCGGATTTGTAATTTCTTTATGTCTTTTCCATAAAATGAACGAGGACCTGTGTGCTGACCAATTGCATACGAACTGTTCAGTTGATCATCGTCGTAAAACCATCTCCTTCCAGATTAGAGTAAACCAAACCACATATATTAATTATAGCATAAATGTGTGGACTATATGGAGGATGTTCAATTACAGTTCAATGCACATCAGTTTTAGTTTCTCTTGTCTTCGTATTGGACATCAATGTTTTTAGACCGAAAACGCTTCAAAATGTTACAATAATAAACTGCATTAACGGTTTAACTCTCATAAAAAAAATCTACCAGCAATACACCTCTATAATCTTAAAACACTGTCACCTAAACTTACCGGTAGACAAACGAGTTTTCGCTTTTATCGGACAAACTTCACCTTTTTGCCCAATCCTTGCTTGTCTTTCTGGGCTTCGGTGTGAAGTGATGTATCCATATCTTATCACTCATCACTATGTGATGTAAAAACCCGTCTTCTCTCTCTTCATAATGTGTCAGTAGCCTTTAACAAATTTCTACACGAGTAATTCATTGATCTTCATTCAATAGCCTTGTAATCCATCTTACCGAAATTTTTCGAAAGTGAAGGTTTGTCCTAATGATGGATTGGATGCTACCATAGGTTATTCCCACTGTGTTGAATAAGGTCAGGCGACCTTTCTGTCTGAATAGGGTCACGAATAGCATCAATGTTTTCTGCAGTGGAGCTCGTTTTTGAACGTTGTTTTGTCCTCCACGAAATTATGTGGCCCAAAATTCCACATGTGTCTCAGACAGTATCGATTATTCAAACTTCGCCAAATCTTTGTACGTGCGGAAATTTAATCACGATACGTGACGCAACAGAATACTATACTTCTCTCTCGTTCAACTAACTGCGTGGAGCTGCGCTCGAAATAGCAGTGAGCGTAAAGCATCAGACTACCCTCTGTCACCACAGAACTGTTTATCTCTCTCACGGGTGTATATTGGTCGCAGGACACGAAATGTCGGTTCATATTTGATACACCATGGTTTTTTAGCAATCTCGATAATTCTTAGATATTAGTTAAGTACACCGTTTGAAAACTGTACCACAAAGGACATTTTTGGGGTTGTTAAACTTTCTCAGACATTTTGTCAAATTATAAAAAATGTTTCCAAGGAATAAAATACCGTACAGTAGAAGCAAATTGTAATAAATATGAATAAAATTTTTGGTCTTTCCTATAAGCTGGATTTGATAGGAAAAACCATTAAATACATTATTTTATTTTCTTATTTAGTAAAGAGGTCTCGAACTAGAGAAAATAATCCATTCGGTAGCAGAGATTCACCATGAGTTAGATAATAATATTTGGTATGTGGTTATGGTAATTTTGTGTGTATTTTGAATTTCTTACTAACAGTTAATACGGTATTCGTATTTATTTTATGAAATCAGGACTAGGCATATTAAAATTGGGGAATAAATAAATCCCACTCGCTACACGTTACAGATACAGAGATAAATTAACTTTTTATATCTTAGCTATAAAAAACTTTCATTTATTAATTTCATTCCATTTTAATTTTTGTTTATCCTGTCCTGATTTTATAAAAAACGTAAATGTTTGTTTGTTTTTTGTTCGTTTGTTTTTTGTTTGTTTGTTCGTTACTTGTTTTGTTATTGTTTTATATAAATTTAAATATTGTTTTTGGTTCTTCCAACCATAATTAGGCATCTCTAATTTCGTTTGGTTTTTTAATCGTTAACATAATCTCTCGGATATAATTTATATTTATATATTTATTAATAGTTTTCACCTTTCAATACATTGGCTCAATTACTTTCCATTTAGGTGTACCTGATGATGAAGTAATCACTTCGAAACCGCTCGCCAATAAATTGACTTTGTGAGAAATAAAGGACCTTTCCTTACATCTTCGCACCCAATAAATATATTCCATAAATTGTACTGAAGATTCGATCTTTACCTCTAAGATACAGAAGTATGTCTAAATTTGTAAAAGACTTCTTTTTACAATTAAATTATCTAAGCGAAATTTTAGGTGACATCTAAATTTATTCTCGAACAAATAAGTTTCGATAACTTGATAGGTATTCAATTATTTGTTATTTCGACCACTTACCTTTCAATTAATGAATATTCGATATTTTGACATTTCGATCATATGCATTCGATCTTTTGATTTCGATCAGATGCTTTTCGAACAATTGTCCGAGACCCTTTTAATGACATAGAATACAGACTACTTTGGTAATAGAAAATAGTTACATATTAACTTGTGACACATTTTCTGGCTTTACCTGCTGAGTAGTGGAAGTCGTATGTGGCACTAAGGATGGTAAATATATTAAGGGCTGTCCAGGCGCCAGTTTTGATAATGCAGTTAGCTCTGCGACCCTTAAGTATACTTAGAGTACACTCAAAGTAGTCTCAGTGGAGTAAATTAAATTTCAGTCGGTCACTTGCAAATGTGGTATTAAATGAAAGAGCACTTAACACCGGTAATACATACCTTACCCCACGTTGGGCGCCATTCTGTAATGTGATATTATTTTATAAATGTTTATAGTGTTTTAAGCTCTACGATTTTGGGAAGTGAGTCAGGTTATTAAACAACTCATATGACTTTGAAAGAGAATATTGGATGCCACTATATTTAAAACTTTCTAAACTTGACAATCGATCAGTGATGAAAATATAGAAAACCACTGATCTTTATGATATTATAATTAAATAAGGTAGCGACAAATTCTAATTCACAGAGACTTAATTATTCAAATTTAAATGATTTATTGACTTATCTGGAGGTATACAGGAAACAGGTAACAGGTAACTGTAGAGGCCTTCTTGTGAGAATTTACAAGGTAGTGTAAATCTTGTTAACTAAACTTTTTGTGAACTAAACTTCTTGATGTATTCTACGTTCTTCCGAATTTCCCAAGAAGCAGCTTGTACGTTCTTCCAAAATTCATGTAGAGACAGCTACTATTGAATCCTCGATTTAGTTTCTATCGAACCATCTAAATCTACTGAAACCATATATATATATATATATATATATATATATATATATATATATATATATATATATATAACTTCTAGGATTTCTTTAAGATTTTCAGACCATCTATATACAGCAAGGCTACAAGGAAATAGGTAAAAATATAAAGGAAGGAATTAGGGAGAACAGATAAGATGCTTTTTGCTATCAAATGCATAATTTAAATTATTAAATGAAAAGCTCCACAGAGACCAAATTCAATAGGTAAAGAAAAAGTCTTATTTAACATATATAAATATAGCAAAGCATATTATCCATTTCAAACAAAATAATATATGTAATTATATAAAACATGCGTTCTTGTATTTTTCAATGTGTTGAGGTTTTGTTTCAAATTTGACATTTCTTGTACTAAATATATATTTTCAACAAAATATCGGTAGAAAACTTACCTTTTTATAATCAGACGGCCATTAAAATAATTTAAGGTAACTAGTACATCGGATGTCTCAGATAAAGTTCAAATTAAAATTCAAATCAACTTAGCTTGTCGACAGATAACATGAAAATGACAATCCAAGTTTTGACATAAACGACAGTTGACGTTTGTGTAGAGATGTTGGTTTTAAAATAACGAAAACGGGTCTGGGTCAAATAACGAAAACGGATTTAACCGTTACAAAACTAAACGGTGTAAATCACCTTACACCCATTATCCTAAAGGTAATCCTGGAAGAGCTAGATAAAATGCGGGGTATAGAGAAACATAGGAAGTTTATAAAAACATTATATATTTATAACGGAAACAACGGTGGAAGTAATACGCAGCCCAAATAACAATGTATTTTTAATTACAATCAGTTACACGAAAAATAAAAATAATAACTCAATGAATACGAATATACCCACGGTTTTCTAAATAAACGACGATTACCTAAAGTTAGTTAGCAATATAACTAACATGGATATATCTGTATCTGTACCGTGTGGAGGGTGGGTTACCCCCACGGCACATATGCCTCACTAGGCCCTTTGTGGATATGCTCGATGGTCTAATCTTCTTGTTCGCATCCTCTACAGAGTGCGGATTCTGACAGCCCCATGATATGGGGATGCTTCCGTACTTGGCAATGACCAGTCAGAATGCCTGTGACTAGGCGGAGATTCTGTCTAGTCGTAGTCAAGTATTTGTTTGCTGCAGTATTGTCAGGATAACTTAAAAACTCCATGGCAACTCTGCAGTTTCTTGTTTCATCCCATCTTTCCTTGAATTTTACAGGGGAATGTTCTTTAATTAGGTCTGTCACTGCCGATTTTGTCAGGCCAATGGAAGGGCCAGGTCCAAAAAGTATTTGGTTGGCTGCTTTTTTTTTTGGTTACTTTTCAATGTGGCGTGACCTTTGATCCATCTTAAGGTGACCACGTTGTTGATGGATAATTCGACCAAAACTTCGTGACATTCTAGTACTAACTCTGAATAAATTAGTGGTCTGTTCAGGGCGAGTAGTGCTTGTCTGCTAACTGTATAGATGAGCATGTTCCTTCCAGTGATATTGTTTCTGGTGATTTCTTTTACTGCTATGAGAATCCCCGTGAGCTCTGTTTAAACTACAGTGGCACTATTGCTCACAGTCCGTTTTATGTTAAGGTTTTAGGATCTGGAGTATATTCCACATCCTGTGCCTTGTTTTGTTTTAGAACCATCGGTGTAGATATGAATCGTACCTGCCACTTCCGGCTCCTCTATTTGTTATGTTACAACTTTATATGGCTTATGGAAGATATATCTCGATGAGATAGAGTCCATGTTCGCTTGAAGCAGTGGGAGCGTATCGAGCGCCTCCTGACACGTCTCGCCTCAGTAGATCCTACATCATGCCAACCGTGCGGAGGCGTGTCATTGTCGTCAGAGCAACCTCCTTGATGTAAATATCAATGGGAGTGCGACTAAAAATTATTTCCATGGCTCTGGTCGGTGTTGTTTTCATGGCTCCTGTTATGTTGAGACATGCTATTCTTTGAATTTATTCTAGTTTACGGATAGCTGTTAATTTTTGGGTTTTTGGTACCCAGACAACTGCACCGTATGTTAGCATAGGTCTTATGATAGCCGTGTAAGTCCATGCGACGACTTTGGGAAAGAAACCCCAGGTGCGCCCCACGGTTCGGCAGCATTGTTCATAAGCAATGTATGCTCTTTTGACTGTGTTTTCTAAATTATCTTGGGAAAGGTGGTTTTATCAAAAGCACCTTCTATATCTATGAAAACACCAAAGGCGTACTCCTTATTATTGTCCAGGGATATCTATCCGGTCAGCAACTAGATAAAGGGCTGAATCAGTGGATCTGCCTGGAGTGTATGCATGTTGATTTAGGTGTAGTGTGTTGTTGTAATCACCGCATCTCTTATGTACCTTTCGCATAGCCTTTCCAATGTCTTCATGGATAACGATGTCAGACTAATTGGTCAGTATGTTTTTTGGACAGTGTAATACATCCTTCCAGGTTTGGGTATGAATACCACTTTTACCTCTCTCCATTTTTTGGGAATATATCTTAGAGCTAACGAGGATTTAAATATACCCACCAGGTGCGGTGTGAGATCTTCCAGACCCCACTGAAGTAGGGCTGGATAGATACCGTCAGGTCCTGACAATTTAAATGGAGAGAAGCTAGATAGTACCCATCTAATTTTTTCATCATCTACAATGTGTGTGGCAGTTTGCCAATCATAAACAGATGGGTTGTATTCTTCCTTTTTCCAGTCGGTCACGTCTGTGATGACCGAGTCAGGGAAGTGTGTTGACAGCAGAAGATTGATGCTATCTTCGAGGTTGGCAGTTTTCGTGCCATCCTCTTTGATAAGCGCACCAATCATTCGGTGTCGATCTTTTGAGAGAGCTTTTTGAAGCCTCGCTGCCTGCGGGAAATCTGCGATTTCTTTGCAGTAGGATCTCCATGCATCTCTCTATTTTTGTCTGACGATTTTTTTGTATTCTCTGATGTGAGATTCGTAAGTTTATCAGTCCTCTTGAGTTTTGTGGCTCTTGCCTTATTAAGGGATTTTCTAGCCATCTTCCTGAGGTGATCCAACTCGTGACAACACCATGCGATAGTCGTCTGATCGTGTTGGGCCAGCCTCAGGGGACAGAATTTCTTGTAGGCATTGTTTATTGTGCTTTGGATAGTGTTCGAGTACTTCTCCAAAGCATTGTTACTGTTTGGTGTTTCGGCCTCCATCTATCTCGAAGCCTCTTGGAGAAGGTGGGCATATAGGTTTCCCTGTCCGTCTTCCTAGGGTTCCGAGATAGCGTGGAGGTCGGCAACATCAAGTTTATTTTGAATGTTAACCAGCGGTGGTCTGACATCGAAATATTATCAGACCCTTGCCAGTTTTGAATTGATTTATAGATACCAGTTGTGGATAAAGTAATATCTATTAGTGTTTGACTGCGAGAGTTTAAAAATGTTGGTGTAGTGCCTTTATTTAAAATAAGATTTTTGGTAATTCTATAATCATAGAGTTACTTACCTCTAGCGTTCTTATCCTTACTGTCCCAACTGAAGCGATGAGCGTTTGAGTTGCAACCTATCAGCCCAAACTTCTGTTCCAGGCAGAATGTAATCAGACCCTCCATTGGATATATTTTAAAAATTAATAGTTTTGATGCAATTATTGTTATTCTAAAGTCGCCGAATGAATGGCAATCACGAATCCTTATTTAAACGTGTATTTACCATCAAAATAAGGCATCGCCACGATAAAACTCAGAGCTGAGACTACGACGGCGGTCAGCCCGAATGGTGTTAGCCCAGAGATTATAGTAAGATTTTCAAAAAAATGAAATGTAACGGAGATTCCTGTACTTTATTGATCGGTTTAAGTTTAGAGAATATTTACAAGGGAATGCTGTTAATAGGGTTGACAGAGACATAGATCAGAGAGCAATTTTGTTTCGTGATCAACGGTCTGGAGTAAATTAAAGATTAAATGATTAACGGGGTATGTCTATTGACTCTGGATCACTTCGGATGTTGAAAAATTTGTTTCCCGAAACAAGACTGTGAGCTCACTGGCCTTTACTCTCCAATGAAATTTCAAAAATCCCAGAACAGTATTATGTACAAAACTGGAAAATTAATTTGAACTTAAATTTGAACATTTAGTCATAGGAACAAGACTGTGAGCACCCTTGCTACGAAACTTCAGAAATACCAAAACGGTATGCGGTTCAAAAATAGGAAAAATTAATTTTCTCGGGCTATAAAATTATTTATTTACTAAAACCGAACACGGTTTGGCTAGAAAAACAGTAAAATAAAACTCGACAACTTTTAATAGGAAATTAATGTAGATCGGTTCTTACCTTGGATTTTTCCACACTTGGTACTCAAATGGTGAAGTAACGAAAGTTTTTGTTTAGGTCACGGAAACACGGTACCAAAAGAGAGAGAATTTACTGGGGTCTCGGTTTTATACTTTTACTATCAGACTGGTTCGGATTACGAGTGGTTTGGAGTGAAAAGTACCATCTCCTGATTATTATTTACTTGTTAATACAGAATATATATATGAATTTAATTCGAATTTATTCGAATTTCGGTTAAGAATTGTATACTTTGATCCACGGGACTTCTCGCATATGTTTAAAAATGTGAATTTTTAAGAAATAAAATGTACGGGGGTTCTTGCGAAGGCTAACAGGCGGAAATCAACTCGAATTAAATATTCTTATAATTAAACGAAAGAAAAATTTACTGACCTCGTCACAAACTACTTTAGAAATATCAGACATCATATATTTTTAATGTTTATTCATTGAAACTCCTGACAAATGTTTATTTATTAAAATGCTACCAAAATAATCTACATTATGTGTGTGTGAGAGGGAGAGTTGGCTTAGAATTAATTTTGTTAGCTACAGACTTTTTAAAGAAAATGACTCCCTAAGGTTGTAGTTATACTTATAAATGTATTTTAATTTGCTTAAGAAATTCAATTAGGAGGTTATTAATGATTTTGCTGTCTTGACTCAACAAGTTAGGGTGGTTTACTTAAGGGTGGTTTCAATTTCAACTGAATCAATGAATTATATAGGCTTTCGGTCTTGGCTTTATGATTGTTGCAATTAAAGAATATATGATTTAGGTCTGCTATCGATACATTATCACAAATACATACTGCTGAGTTGACAATTCCTAATTTAGCTAAATAACAGAGATATCTTCCGTGTTGTGTTTTTAATCTTATCATTGATGCTGAGTAGTATTTAGAGACGTTGTACTCGAAAATATATTCTGGCGGAGATGGTAGTTGAGGGTATAACTGGTGATGTAGATTATTTATTGGATTCAATATTAGTCCATTCGTTTTTCCAGCAATTTATCACATTTTGTTTTAAAACTGAGCATACGTCCCTATAAATCACGGTATTTAAAAAAGTTCTATTGAGGATTGAATCTTTAGCCAGTTCATCAACTTTTTTATTCCCTGTAATACCTATGTGGCTTTTAACCCAAATAATCTAGTAATTTACATTACAATTTTAGATTTTGGTTAAATTTAACATTTTAATTTTTAAAGAACGTCTTATTAATAATCGAAAATAATAAATGTTGCTTATAATTATTAATTGCATGATAACACAACTAATATATCGATACTAGTTTTTAGTGGACTAAAGAGCGATCCACAAAAAAATGTTTCTAAAATAGGCTATAATAGATAAAGACAGAAATACGAGTCATGTAAGGCGATAATGCTATATAAAAAAGTAGAAGAATTGTACTTACCGACATTCGTGATTTTCTCCATGCATTTTTTGTGGATCACTCCATGCTCTGCACTCCTTTGTTTTTAATGTAAACTGTGATAAATCTTAATACTATAACGTTTGGTTGCCTAGCATCCCAGTTGCATTATGAAGAGGTAAAGTTTTTACATAACAATTACATGAAATAAGAGGGATTTAGCAAACCTATAAAATAATCATTAACATTGCGTTAAGTTTAGATTGTGATTTTTTTAATAGAATTTCAAATGTATATATTATAGTCTAATGCCAACGTAACTTTTTATTGAAATATTTTAAAACGTATTGACGGTGCTTGTAAACAAATAATTAATGCTTTTAACATTGGTATCATAAAAAGCTATTTCGTTGTTACACCAAAATTTAATTTCCGAATTTTTTTAGAATATACTTCACCATAATCATCCAGTATATCAATAAAAAATTATCATAAATAGTACACTACCTTTTTATTAATTTACAATAACTAACGTGTACCTTATAATAAATAAATATTAGAGCGCCTCAAATTAACTTTTTTACATTTTGATGTGCACTAATAAAATTAAAATATAATCACAAATGACTAATTGATCTAAATTTTTCAGTTCGCAGAACTCTGAAAAATGGTTTATCAGAAGAGGAGAAGAAACACCTGTCAGCATACATCAAAGGGTATTAAAACGCGATAAAACCAAATTGTGCTGTGGTAATTTATTAACCATTCGACATCTTCTGAAGATGTAAATTTTTATACTGACTTTGTTATGTGATAATATTATGGCTGCTCACTCACCTCGTTGTTTTTTTCTACTATTTATGTTTACGTAGGTCCATTTCTCGTTTTTAAGAATTAGGTTTTATTTATTTTTATTTAAGAGACGAGGAACAGCTGTAAAAATCTTAATTACACTTACACTTGCGCCTTTTCTAAATGGCTACTAGTCTCGGTTTCATTATTTTCATTTTTCATCAAATTTCATCTCGACTCTCACGGTATTGTAAGCGTTTAAAGGAAATAAAATAAAAGAATTGTCGTCTACTACTGCGTACTAGCTATTTCTGTAACTTAAGATTTTTTATTTAATTTCTTCTTATTGCTGTGTTTTATGTTTTATTTCGATTTAGGATTACTGTTCAAATGAAATGTATAATAAAGCAAGTTTTGTTATTGTTTGTTGGTTTTATTTAAATCTGATTGTACTAACAATACAACTTTTATACGCTAAACCCTAATAGTCCAGGGAAGTTAGGAAAAATAGCGAAAATTTTTAGGGACAGCAGATATCGAGAAGCGGTTTTCTGCATTGTGTTCAGGAAGGTCCCAGGAAAACAGTCTATATCATCTGGTGTAGCCATTTTTTGAAAAATGCCTTCTTGGCCAAAAAATGCATTTTCCAATTGCATCATTATAGGAACGACTGGAAACTCGGAAAAATCTCTCGGAAATCGTTACCTGGGTGTTTTCGGGACTGCCGAACTCGATTCTGGCATTAAAATTACCTGGGGGTGGCTCTATGGGGGTGCGCGGGGGGTGAATGAGGTAGAAATGTCAGCATGCATGAAAATCGTTTCAAACTCGTTACTCGGGGGTTTTCGGGATGTCGAATTCAATTCTGGCATTGGAATTAGCGGAGAGCGGCTCTGCGGTGGTATCCGGGGGGTTATTATGGGGGGGGGATTTTCATAGACCATGGGAAACGCTCCAAACTCGTTACTCGGGGTTTTCAGGGATGCCGAATTTAATTCTAGCATTAGATTTCCCCGGGGGTCGCTATGTGGGGTTGTCTGGAGGGTGATTGGAGGAAATGGCAGCGTCCATGAAAATCACTGCAAAATCGATACTCGGGGGTTTTCGGGGATGCCGAATTTAATTATGGCATTAGAGTTCCTCGGGAGCGCTCGGGTGCCCCTCTGTGGGGTTGTCTGGAAGTGACTGGGGAGGAAATGGCAACGTCCATGAAAATCGTTACTCGGAGGTTTTCGGGGATGCCGAATTCAATTCTGGCATTAGAATTGGGGTGTGAATAAAACAAACTTTTGATTAAATATGAAATAAATATTACACATATTATAAAAACAATTACTTTGGAAGTCTTTTGTGCCTCAAAACTGGATTTGAAAAAGGCGCCAAAGCTCTAAAGAGAGTAGAGTATCTGGATCGTTACGATCCTATATAATATTTATTTATTTTTATTATTTATTTTAATTGTATCCAAATAGGTTATTCGCGTCAAAATTGTTTTCACTTTATTCTTTATAAGTATATTTTGATGAACCTATTCCTAAACCTTATGATCCGCCTCTGGTTTTACTTTTCCGTTTTTTATCCTTTTTACCCAAAATCGTGCATTCGAATTTTTGATGGAAATAGCCGAAGGACAGTACGAATACGAGTTTTGCGAGAATCTGTACCACACAGCAATTGTGTCGGCGTCACCAATATTTCCTATCCTGTCCAATAAACAGAACTATACCTTGGTAAGTCAAAGAAAGATTAGTTTTAATAGTACGATTTACATATAACAACAAAAACAATTAATTAAACGCCACATGAACCAATTTCTCCCAACATCAAAGCAGTCCACTCAATTTTTTATTTGGTAACGAACCAGTATCGTTAACACGGGGATGTATGCATAAAAATTCCGCCACCGTACGCATGGCTCCAGATTCCTGGACGGTCATGACGTTGCCCGCAAGTGTAACTCGGGACAAGTTTCTAGGGAATAGCAAAAATAAGTCCCAGCTCATTAAATTTCTCAAGGAGGAATTGAGACGTGCTAATATAATGTCTCAGCAGAGTGTAGCTGATGCGAATGTTGATATTGTGCTTAAGACCATTGAGACTGCTTCTGGAAGCCGCAACAATAAAGTGGTTATTGTTTCGAAAGACACTGGCGTCTTAACAATGCTTGCTGAGTACCTGATGTTGTGTATTCTTCCGAGAGCTTAGCATCCAGAAGCGCGTGCATCAGGTTTTATATATTATTTCTACATGTTTTCACGGGATGCGATACAACCTCAGCATTTTTCTATCGAGGTAAAGTAAAATTCTACAATTTGTTTGAGAAATCTGATTATTTACATGGGTTTGCAGAAATATTTAAGAAAACACATGTATCCATGGATAATTTAATAGATCATGGGCTTCGTCTAGCTTTGGCTCTTTACGGGGCACCCAAAAAGATGTGCGCACGAGCGATAAACCTGCTCGTCAAATGCTATCGAGCAAAAATGTGTGCTGAAGCCATCAATTTAAAAAAAAAAGTCGATCTTGCACGCATAATCCCGACTGCCAATACGTTAACCGAGCATATCAAGCGTGTCTATTTCCAAATACAGGATTGGTATGGTTCACAAGGTCAAGACGAGACCTTAGATCTATTGGAATGGGATGGGAATTGGTGGATGGAGAGCTCAGTCCTGTCACCGTGGCCCAGGAAGCCGGTCCCGAGCAAATTTTAAGCTAAATTTCTCGTTCTTGTGAAACCCACTGTGCCAGAATTGAATTCGGCATCGCCGAAAACCCCCCGAGTAACGATTTTGGAGTGACTTTTATGGAAGCTGCCATTTCCCTCCAATCACCCCCAGACAAACCAACAGAGCCATCCCCGAGCGCCCCGGGAAATCTAATGCTAGAATTGAATTCGGCATCCGCGAAAACCCCCCGAGTAACAAGAGTTTGGAGCGCTTCCCATGGACTATCCCCGCAGAGCCGCCCCCGAGCGCCCCCGGATAATTCCAATGCCAGAATTGAATTCGGCATCTCCGAAAACTCCGAGTAACGAGTTTGGAGCGATTTTCATGCACTCTGCCATTTCTTCCCCAATTTACCCCCCGCGCACCCCGACAGAGCCTCCCCTGTGTAATTCTACTGCCAGAATCTAATTCGTCAGCCCCGAAAATCCTGAGTAACGATTTTCGAGCGATTTTTCCGAGTTTCCAGTCGTTCCTATAATGGTGCAAGTACTGATGCAATTGGAAAATGCATTTTCCGGCCAAGAAGGCATTTTTCAAAAAATGGCTAAACCAGACGATATAGACTTTTTCCTGGGACCTTCCTTAACGCAATGCAGAAAATCACATCTCGATATCTGCTGTTCCTAAAAATTTCCGCTCTTCCGGTCGATTTTGATCTAAATGCCCTGGACTATAAGTCTAAACTTGATTTTAAAAAGTGACACAATTTGAATAGATTTTAGACAGCATTTCTGTAATTTAAATTTATCTCTAGCAGTCACATACTTACTATACGAGGCAAGAGAGAGGTCCGACACGCCCAACATAGGGCGCGGCCATTTTGAACCCTATGACACAGTTTACAGCTAAAGAATCAGATCGCTCACTCTGCGTCGGCACTTTGGATCTCAATAGGTGCGTTTTATTCATCCATCCATCATTTCTCTAGTAGAAAAAGTTTGAACAGAATTTGCAAACGCAATAAAACGATAAAATTGTCATCTGTCAAGAATGTCAAATTTAAAATCATCGTTTGATTTATCCATTATCCCGCCCATAGAAATAGTTAATATTAATTTAAAAATGGAAATATTATTACAGATATTTGGAAGTATTGCAACTTAATAATCATTTGCTATTAGCTGCACCAAGAATTCCAGTTGACATTATTAGATTAATTATCGAGAAGTATGAAGTATAAAATTATTTTGTAATATTTTTAATAATTCAAAATATTTACTTCTAGTATGACCAATGATGTTATAGCAAAATCTCAATTTGTTACATACATGTAAACAATAAATAAAATATGCTGTCTTTGTTGAACCAGAAATATTGTCCACTTTCATCCTGTACAATTTCTTCCATTTTTTACAACCTGTATCAGAGTCAACGATCCAAAGCCCAATTGAATTACTATTTTCGAATTTTACGATGATAAAAATAATTAAAAATTATAAGTATTATAACTCATAACCTTACTAATAAAGTATGTTTGGTATACCAATACCCCCCACTTTTTTCATTCCCTTCATTCGGTCAAAATTCACCGAATGAGAAGTTTGAGCGAAATGAATCAATCGATACAATAAAACGCTCATTCTGTTCAGACTTTCCACACCGGTGGCAAAAGATTGAGCAATAAAACGCGCCAAATGTTTCAGTTTATACACTGTGCAACTCGGATAATACAATATATGACAACCGCCAATAATAAAACAGCAGTCTTCTGCGTATCCTGAATTTGTATCCCTGGAGTGGATGTTATTTTGGAACTTTCAACCGGTCCGAGTGAGCTAACTGATTCTTTAGCAATAAACTGTGACTTCAAAAATAATATTCACTGACACTGACAGCAGCAAGCAAAATATCAGGTGCGTTTTAATCATCCGCTTCTGCTTCCGGAATTGTCGGTTTAGTCGTTTTAACCTGTCAGATTAAAACAAGAAAACCGACAATTCCGAAGCAGAAGCGGATGATTAAAACGCACCTATTAAAAATATTGCGCCAAGATGTAGGCAACACGTAATAAGGGTTCAAAATGGCAGAGTTTTCTATCTCCTTTTAAAAGGCACTCAGAAAGCTGTGCAGTGCGACCATTCTCCGTATAGTAAAAGAAAATCAAAGTATATCTAAATATAATATTTATTGTAACTAGTCACAACACGTATCACGAGGTGTAGTTTATTTTGTTATAAATTTCTACAAAATAAAACTTTGCAGTTATAGATTCTGACATACAAACAACAATAATAATAGTACATATTGATTTTGCTGGCCCATTCCTAAATTACCATTTCCTTCTTGTTGTTGATGCCAAGTCAAAAATGGCCAGAAATAATTATGATGAAGTGCATTCCAACCACAGCTAAAACAATTTACCTTCTAAGGGAAATTTTTAGTAGAATGGGTCTCCCAGAAATTCTTAACTTTTCAAATCCAAAGAATTTATAGAATTCTGTCAACGAAATTGCATTAAACAACGATTTATTGCACTAGGCCATCTCGCTACAAATAGTCAAGAGGAACGATACTGCCAGACGTTAAATATAAACTTAAATGTATGACGAATGAAATGGGAGATCTGCAGGAGAAATTATGTACATTTTTATTCAGATATCGAGTAACGCCATTATCGTCAGGGAAATCGCCTTCAGAAAACTTATTTGGGAGGAACTTAAAAACAAAATTGAATTGCATTAGAAAAATATATTCATAGAACGACACTATCTAGATACGTAAATAACTTTAAATCAAACGAACTTGTATCATTTGTAGCAAACTTTAATTCTTCGCAATTTTTTACTAATCAAGAAGAATATTTGCTAGTTCAATATCTTCTCACATGCGCCGACTTATATTATGGACTTACTCCAATCGCAGTAAGAAAGTTTGCTTACATCTTTGCAACTGAAAATAACAAAAACATTTCAGCAGCTTTAGAGAAAAATAGAGCAGCAACGCGTGATTGGCTAAGAGGTTTTATGTTAAGACATGATAACTTATCAATTAGGACACCAGAAGCCACGAGTGTAGGACATGCCACTGCATTTAATAAATATACCGTGCAGCTATTTTTTGACAATTTTAAGACCATCATGACAAGGGAATAGATTACACCTGATTGCATATATATTGCAGATGAAACAGGAGTTACAACAGCACATAAGCCGCAAAAAATAATTGCAAAGAAAGGGCAGTACCAGGTGTCAAAGGCAACATCGTGTGAAAGAGGATCACTGGTAACAGTTTTATGCAGTATAAGTGCGTCTGGTAACACTATTCGCCATCTTTAATTTTTCCGAGGGTTAGGATCCAGGATTATATGACAAGAGGACTTCCCATTGGTGACGATGCTGCTGTTAATCCATCAGGTTGGATGACCCACGAGAATTTTAAAAACTATTTACTGCACTTCATCAAGTATTCCCGAGTCAACTAGAATCACAAGTGTCTGCTGATACTAGACAATCAAGATAGCCATATTTCCCCAAAAGGGCTTAACATTTGTAAATAAAATGGAATAATACTACTCACCATTCCACCTCATACTAGCCATAAGTTACAGCCCTTGGACACCAACGTTTTCGGGCCTTTTAAAAGGTTTTATAATGAAGCGGCAGATAACTTGATGGTCAATAATCCTGCACAGCTGATATCCTTAAAAGAAATACCTGAACTTATGGGAAGTGCTTACGTTCGCGCTTTTACATCGGCCAATGTAATAGGTGGATTTTCAGATATTGGTATTTGTCCATATAATCCAGCTGTATTTTCAGATAGTGATTTTACCAGTTCGGAAATTACAGACCGGCCAGATCCATCTGAAGCTTTGCAGGGTACAGAAAATTTACTTTTAGCTGTCCCTAGTACTTCCCAAAATATTCCAAATGCATTTGTAAGCCCTGAAGTTATAAGGCCGTTTGCGAAAGCTCTTTCACGTAAAAAGAAAGCTGGAAGGAAATGTGGGAAAACACGGATTTTAACGGACATCCCCGAAAAAGACCAAATACAAAAATACTTTGAGGAAAGAGCAAAAAAAAAGAAAGAGTAAAATAAAAAAAAGGAAGAAAGGGTGGAAAGATTAAAAAAATTGGTTTTAGAAGATGAAAAACAGGTGCTCGTTTAACAAAATAAGATTGAGATAGTAATGGAGGAATCTGAACAATCTAACGATTCTTTCAACTTTTCGAGTTCTGATGAGTTAACCGATATTGAGGAACAGATTGAAGAAGAAAATGCTGAAGAAAGCAGGATGAGTATGTTCTTGTACGATTTCCTACCAACAAGAATTTCCGACATTACTTTGCTAAAGTCATAAATATTAATGGCAAGAATTATGACTTATTAGGCATGAAACTAAAGCCTCCAGGATACAAATTTATTTTTCCCTATGAATGTTGCGCACCTAGGGACGATCTGGTTAAGATACCTTTACTGGAGAAACAACAAGAATACATAGGACCCTTTCTTTTCCAGTCGATTTTTCCAAATATGAAAATTTATTCTAGGTTTTTTGGCAAATATTTTTATGACTGCTGTATTCTCTTATTTTTTTCAAGTACCTATGTGTATTTTTTTATTATTATTATTGCAGGAAAGGGTTAAATAGTTTATTACTGTCTTTAATAAATTTGCTTTAACCAGTGACTTTATCGTTACCTACTACTCTTGTCTCGAGCCTCCCTTCATAAAGAAGGTTTAAGACAAGTGCATGTGGTACTTCAATTATTTTTTGCTTAAATAACAATAGTTAATCAGTATGTAAAAAACTTTCTTTGAAAAAAAGTGGCTGAATCCCCCCAGTCTCCCATAAGCATTGAATCGCTTTTTGCATTTTCCGTCACACATTATTGTTTAACTTTCAAGGCTCCATAATTTTCTAAACAAGTGTCTTGATTTTCAAAAACTCAGCGTTATATAGGGAACGACAAAACCCTTTTATTAAGGTATCACCCCCTTCCCCTTTGAAAAAATTTGGAGGATGACACCCCTACTCAGGGGGTTAAAGGTTTTACTATGCTTTTTGCGTCAAAAAGTGTCCCCTTGACAAACAAACTTGACGTGTTTTTGGATTTCGCCGAAAAGTTTTTTTCCACCCTGTAATACCTTTAGGTACGTTTTCAATGGGCCATCCTGCATATTAGACACCAAAATGTAAATTAGGCACATTTGAAGAAGTTATACTTTAATTTTTTTAAAAATAATGTGAAAATCTACCATGTTTGGTTTTTCTCATTTTAATATGGATTTTCATCAAGTAAAACCGAAAGAATCAAGCATATACTGGATGCTTATTAGGAAGAAACGAAAATTTACTACCTAACAAAAAAATTTCAGCTACTACATTTTAAATTTTATTCTTAAAATTGAAGTGGATAAATACTCAATCAATTCAATTCTTCTTATCTTTAAAATTGTCAGTAATCAAATATCAAATATTCTCTCAACGGTTGAAATTTGGTTGTACCAAATATTTCTTATATGGAATAAAATATACTTTTTTCAAATATTTGTTATCATAAAATAAAAGCCACACCTAAGAAGGTCGTCTTAAAAAATGTTTATAAAAACTTTTATTACAATCGTTTCATATAACAAATATAAACATATAAGAAGTAAAAAATCAATGATAACAATAACTGTGCAGATTAAAAAATTAAATAAATAATTTAACAACATTAGCAACTTAAATTAAAATAGTGTGAGATACACAGTTTTCACATTGACTCTAAAAATTATGTATAAAAATATGGATTATGGTAAAAATGGATTGTTTGGAATGATTTTAAACAATTGACTAGGTAATTGTTTGTATCTTTTTTATAATTCATCGTGTTTGGGTCCAGAAAATTCATCATGCGAAATGAATCCATTTTTGTCTTGATCTTCATGGATGAAAATTTCTTCTACTAGTTTATCGTGCTCTGCTAACATGTTCTTTACTTCTTCGCTTGGTACTTCTCCTTCAGCAGCTACCATTTGTTTCTTTAAGTATTCACTGACCTGAAAACAAATTTAGTTAGAATCATTTTAAAATCATCCAGTTCTTATTCTACTCCTTTAGTGATAATTGATAAAAACAATCCTAATTATGATTTAGTTAGATCTGGATTACCACGATCCATTATTATGTGACTTCTAGAAGAAGATAAAGGCTTTTTAATAAAAGAAATAAATCATATGGAAGGTTGTTTTACCAAAAACATAAAACAAAATGTCAAAGAAACTCAAGATTTTTTACAAAAATAATAAGACCCTTGCATGGTTTATTTTTTATTTCCATTTCTTCAATAACTGTATTTTAAAATAATGGTGTTAATTCAAATATTATATTGAAATTATTGCATTTATTTGTTTCTAGTAGCATTCTCATCGTCGTTCAAATCTTCTATGCTTTCGTTTTCTTTTCTGAAATGATAAAAAATTATTTTGGACTTGCCTTTAATAATAATTTATACCAGAGTTATTTTTTAGCACTCCATAAATTAACTTTTGAGCAAATTATGCTACTATTAGTTACAGGGCGTCCCATATTACAAAAACTTGCTGAATTTAAATTTACATACAGCTTATTACTTTACGAAGTTTAACACAGAAAAATGTGTGTGTCTAATTGTTGACTTTTCCAATTGTCCCATTACATACAAAGCTGTTAAAATCCATAGGAATTCTGCACATTATTATAAGAAAGCTTCTTGAGGATCTCTTTCTGTTTTCTAAAAATTAAGTCAATTCTAAAATTTCTGATTTTGTAACATCTTCTCTCCGATGCTAGTGAACAGTTTTCAGTTTGACCAAAAAATTAAATGCAATTTCAATTAAAGTATAATATTAATATACACATATCAGCCAAAGACAGCTGTCGCTTGGTTGTCGCTCATCGCGCACAAATCTGTATCTGATGTATGTAGTGCACTGATCTCTACAGATCAGTGATGTAGTGAGGTGAGCAAAAGTCAAAGTCATATCGAATCTTGCTGACAACGCTGTCTCTGTCATGTGCATGTTCTTGTTAAATTTTGTAGAACTCACTGCAAGTTATGGGTGTCCCAGAATATGTTGGGAATCTTCCGAATTCAAATATAATACATAAAAATAACTTGAGAAGTTTCTATAATATTTTTTCTACTCGGTCCTTTTCAGAGATATGGTCCAATAATGGATACACTTGAATTTTTGTTTTCAATTTTCAAAGTCCATAGTATAATTTAATAATCTTTAAAAACGATGGATAGATAATTTTCCGTAAAGTGGACCATTTTAAATACATTGGGCTTATTTAGTTTTCCAGGAATAACTTTAAAACAATAATGCTAATATTTTTTACAACCTGTATGACAAAAATACAACAATAATATTTTTAGACAGTTTAATCCTTAAATTAAAAAAACGCTAGGAGTTCGCCTTGTTTCGTCGTTTTCTTATTTTTCATCTTTTCTCGGTAAATTGCTTTAGAACTTCGTAGTGGTGGGGGTAATGAATTATTTGTTTAAGGTATTGAGACATTAAAGACTCTTCTATTCTATTCTATTAGACATTTTCTATGAGTAGTTTCTCTAAAAATAACAAAAAATGTCTTCATTGTCAAAAACTAATTATTTAACTCTCTTGAATCTAAATGAAATTAACGCTTTGTCTCCACAGAAAATGGCACAAGATTACGAAGAATTGTGTAAAGAATGGTATCACTTACTATTAAATAAAAAGAACTTTAATTTACTTGGTTGTGCTCCAAATATTAAATGGTAATCTATTTGTCGATGTCATCTAATAGCAGACGATATTAGCACGTACAGTAGATGAACATCTTCACGCTTTTATACAATTTACTAATGGATTTACAATGTTAGCCTACAAGAAAAAGATACTGCGCACTGGTACACGATTCCATTCAAAAACAACTTTCAAGAAAATAATTTGCTTGGACCATGCTGTTGGTGTCCTCAGATAAGTCACCTGTTCTGATGGACCAGAAACAGAAAAGTATTCAAACAAGATTGCTTACTTTCCCGAGGGAAACAGTGTTGCCTAGTATGCAGAGAAATTTCAGAATTACCATCTGAAGGTGTTTAAGACTTAGAAAAATACATATCGTAAAAAAACTTCATGATAAATCCACATATAGATGTGATAGAAGTACCGAAGGAATAAGGCGGAGGAAAGAAGCTAACGAGAAACAAAGACAATTTTACAAAACAGAACGGGGCATGGAAATTAGGAATAATTACAAAGAAAAACAAATTAAGGAAAAGAAACTAATTACAATTTTACACTGAAAATGGGCCTAAATAAAAAAGCTGAGCTTCAAAGAGAGACAATTTTGAAACTTATTTAGTAAATACTTTAAAAATATAATTTTAAAACAAAATATATTTTATTTTTATTGTCCAATGTTGACTTTACCCTATTACAAATAACTTTTCTCCATTTAAATTATAAGCAATATTTGTCCCATATTTACTTAAATGTCCACACCAGGGAGCTATTCTTGAATTCGAGGGAGTTTGTCCTCTTTATCTGCAACGCATAAAATTTGTATTTTTGTCTTATTCTTCCCTCAAAATTTCTACTCCCCAAGATTCAAGAATAGGTACCCAGCACTCTACTGTCCAGAGTGAACTACACGTTTTCCATTAAAAAAACATTGGTGTCCAAGATCCTATGGAAAACGTATTTAGTTTGATTGTTAAAAGATAAAGCTATTTGATGTACGCCATTTGGTACATAGGTATACAGTATATTGTTTAATATGGCAGTAAGTTTAATAAAATAAGCTTTCAATAAGGCCGTATATGCGTCGGTTGAATTCTTCTAAGCGGATATTGATTTCAAAGGTTTTATCTCAAAGACTTAAATTTGTTAGGTCTCGTAAAACTTCCCTTTCGCCTTCATATAATTTTATGTCTCTACATAGTTCTTTAACTCTTTTATGAAACTCTTTAATTTTACGTCTATTTTCTTCGCTTGACATTTCTATACTAAGCAGTGATTAAAATTCAATAGTGGGTTCGGTCTATCTTCCCACTCCCCGTTTTTCCCGTTTAAATCTAACCAATAATAGCCCATATATAGAACCACCGCACGTAATTTTTCTCTTCAGCGGTATTTTCCCCCACCTCCCCGTTTTCCTCGTTTAAGTATGACCAAAAATAGGAAAGACTTGGGTACTTGCGGCCACTGCGCATGATTTTTCTATTCAGCGTTAATCTATACCATGTTCTCTACATAATGCCGTTTTTTCTGTTCAAATCTGACCAATAATAGCCGAAAAACACGCTTAGGTCCTTTTGACTTTGATAATGCTCATGATTTTTCTTTTTAACGTTAATCTAAACCATGTTCTCTATATAATGTTGTTTTTTTCAGTTTGAATCTGACCGATAGTAACCGAGATACACGCAGAGGCCCTTTTGAATTCGACATTGCGCATAATTTTTCTACTCAAAATTAATTTATACCATGTTCTCTACATAATGCCGTTTTTTCTGTTTGAATTTGACTAATAGTAGCCAAGATACACGCATAGGCCCTTTTGACTTTGACATTGCGCATGCTTTTTCTAATTAATGTTAATAGAGATTTAATCCCCTACACTCCTCCGTTTTCCTTATTCCAATTGGACTAGTAGTAATAGAGATATAAGTTTTAGGTCCTTTTGGCCTGTCACTGCGCATGATTTTTCTCTTCGGCGTTAATAAAGATTTAATTCCCCATACTCCCCCGTTTGTCCATTCCAATCGGACCAGTAATAACAGAAATATAAGTTTTAGGTCCTTTTGACATGCCACTGCGCATGATTTTTCTATTCAATGATAATCTATATACCTTCACCCGAGTTTCAATTGTCCACCACTGACAGCAGCGACTTTTGGAACTGTGAGCCAGCTCTCTCTTTGCTCATCTACTGAGATTACTTGCAACAAGAACATCGGAATTCGATGGATGGGAAGAGGAGGAAGACCAGTGCTTTGGCCACCTCGACCACCTTACCCAAATCTCTTAGATTTCTTTAGAGGTGATATTTAAAAAATTTATTCTGTGTCAATCCACCTGACAATACTGAAAACTTATTAGAAACGATTCTTTCGTTATCGCGAAATAAGGAATAATGTTGTGTATTGTAAAGGGTCCAATAATTTTCAATTCTTTGACGGAATGCATATGATTACAAGGTGCTCATATTGACCGACATACAAAATTATTCCATCAAAACAGTCAAACATAGAAACAAAAAATATTTTTTATCAGTGACATCATTTTATCGATATTGATCAATAGTACCTTTTTTTTAGTTTAAGGTTAAAGCTATCCAAAAATATTACTGTTGTGTGCGTATCATACAGGGTTTACAAAATAGCATTATTGTGTAAAAGTTAGTCCATATCTGGCAAATTAAATAAGCCAAATATATTTAAAATGGTCCAATTTACCTATACTTATCTAGAATCCATCGTATTTAAAAATTATTAAATTATACCAGTGGCCCCGATAAAAAAAAAGATTACCAGGGGTGTCCATTAGGGGACCATATCTTCAATAAGGGGGGTAGTAGGAAAAACATTTATAGGAACATGTCATGTTATTATTATGTGTTCCGGGATATTGCCCACATATACTGGGGACATCCTGTACATACATATATTAGTAAGGAAGGATACTTGACACTTAGGTCATTTGGTATTCTTCTAAAGGTACTATTTGCAGGCGCCGTTCCGAAACCAATTATTGTATCTATACAAGTAACACTGTCGGTCTAAACATTGTTCTCATAACAGACATAATAAAATTTGTAGAATAACAGAAATAGTAATATATATTTCCCACATTTTTATACTAATTACTCATTCACTGCAAACCTGTTGGTCCACTACACCCTGCAGTGGCCTGGAGCCGTTATAGGAAACGTACAAATATGAAAAGAAGTGCAATGTCACCCATCACACTATAGTGTGCTGCGGTCATTATAAGTAAAAGTACAAGTAAAAGAAGATAGAATAGTCCCAAAATGTCATTACCCGTCAAGAATATTCTAGATGACAGATCGAGACGGTTCGAGAAGGCAAGCAAGCTATATACGTATGATCCTGACGTCAGTTTTCAGTTTTATGATAGATGTTACATGTTAATGTTATCAGTTTATAATTGTTGTTAAAGTTGAGTTGAAATAAATTGCGATACCAAAAAAACCTTTGTAACATTGGTGACAGCGGTGGGATACAAAGTAGAAGTTCATGGTAAATACTAGATCCACTGAGTACGAAGCAGGCATGGATACTTCAGGCCCACCAGCATGGTTTTTGAAGATGGAAGAGGAGAGAGTAAGGCGAGAAGAGGAAAAGGAAAGGCGTGGGAAGGAAGAAGAGGAGGAGAGAGTAAGGCGAGAAGAGGAAAAGGAAAGGCGTGGGAAGGAAGAAGAGGAGGAGAGAGTAAGGCGAGAAGAGGAAAAGAAAAGGCGAGAAGAGGAAAAGTAAATGCGTAGGAAAAAAGAGGAAGAAAAGGAAAGGCGAAGAAAGGAAGAAGAGGAGGAAAAGGAAGAAGAGGAGGAAAAGGAAAGGCGCAGGAAGGAAGACGAAAAAGAGAAAAACGAAAGGCGTAAGAAAGCAGAGGTAGAAATTATAAATGATTTGATACAAATTCAGGAAAATTTCAAGCAAGAGGTAGGTGAGCTTAACAGCTTGGCCCAACAACAAGAGAACATAAAAAGTAATTTGGAAAATTTACAAACTAATTTAGAAGAGAAACAAGAAAATTTAAAAACTAATTTAGAGCAACAAGAAAATCTAAAAGCTAACTTAGAGCACAGGTACCTAAAGATTTCTTAGAACAAATCGGCATACAAGCATTCATTGATGGACTACAGGACGTGGAAATGCAGCAGGCCCTTCGGCTACAACACCACAAGACGTTGAGTGAGACGCTAATTGCAGCCCAGAAATACGAAGCAGCAAAAAAAAATATCCTGCAAAATAGCCTGCGAAATAATCAAAATGAGAACAGAAGATGCTTCAATTGCGGAAAAATCGGACACCTTCAAAGAACCTGTCGAAGCAGCGCTCGTTCTATGAATCGAGATTCGGAGAATGATACCAGAAATTCACCTAAATCAACCTCCCGAAGCCCGTCACGAAGTCCAACAAGAAATAGAGCAGATATGCCTCCCGGAGAAGCCGATCACCCACACCTAGCCGGCTTTCTAGAAAAAACCAGGGAAACGAATAAAGGTCGACACTACGGAGCAGGCGTCGGCTGTGTCAGAGGGCCCCAAAATTCGCACTTACACCTTAAATAAAAATGAACAAAATCTATTGGTCAAGGGGTATATCGATAAGCAAGAAGGCACCTTCGTCCTTGATACTGGTGCAACCAAGTCTTTCATTCAAACAGGGATCCTGTATCGGAAACCACGACCAACTCGAAGGAGCTTAGTTCTGGAAACAGCTATAGGGCACACTACTCCTGTTTTAAGCGAGATATCAGCAACCGTACAGATTGGTAATACCCTGATAGAACACTTATTTTTAGTGGCCGATATTAAGGATCAGTGTGTCCTTGGTATAGACATTATGCAAAATAAGTTTATCATCGACCTTCAAAACAAGATCTTGGTGATTGGAAACGAGGAAATTGTCCTAAATTCGGAAGAAAAGACTCAACCGATAAAGGTCCTAGTGGAAAAAGAAATGGAAGTACCTCAAAATTCTGAAGCTGTCGTCTCAGCGAGACTTCACACGGCTTACATGTAGGCATTGTGGAAAGTGAAGAATCTGTGAGTGATGGAATTCTGGTAGCTAGATATCTTGTTAACGTTGATCAACTAATTCCAGTAAGGGTTGCCAATTTATCGAAGAGACCGTTCAAACTGAAGAAAGGACAAGCCATAGGGCTATGTACACCCGTGGAAACCATAATCAAGTAAGACGACCGCTCCACGGGGAAAGCCACCACAAGTAACCCAGTTGACGCCAGCTAGTTAAAAATTATGACCATCTGACAGATAAAGAATTTAGAAAAGTCAAAGAATTTATCAATACCAACTGTGACATTTTCGAGACAGGAAAATCCACGGGGCGTACTAGTCTTGTTCAGCACAGAATTTATACAGGCGATGCAAGGCCAATAAGACAAGCACCTAGAAGACTTCCATTTGCTAGCTAAGCAGAAAGAAGTAGCAAATATGATACAGGATATAATGGAAGCAAATATCATTGAAGAAGCTTCTGGTCCCTGGTGCTCACCTGTGGTCCTAGTAACTAAGAAAGACGGATCTACTCGTTTCTGTGTAGACTACAGAAGATTAAATCAGATAACATAGAAAGACAGCTTCCACTCCCTCGAATAGACGACACACTAAAGACTCTATCAGGTGCAAAATGGTTTTCCACGCTAGACTTGAAGAGTGGATACTGGCAAGTAGAAAGAAGTACATCCTGACGATGGAGACAAAACTGCTCTTTCAACTAGCAGCGGATTATACAGATTCCAGGTTCTCCCGTTTGGTCTCTGTAATGCCCCAGCTACCTTTGAACGTCTTATGGAAATGGTTTTGAAGGGATTAACCTGGAAAACTTGTCTAGTGTATCTCGATGGCACAATGATCATGTCAAAAACTTTTGTGAACATCTAACAAATTTGAGTGAAGTATTTGACATATTAAGAAATGCCAATCTAAAGCTTAATCATAATAAATGTTCACTATTCCAATCGGAAGCTTATTATTTGGGACCCATCGTTTCTGCGGAAGGAATCAAAACTGACCCGGAGAAAATTAACGCTATCAAAGATTGGCCTAAACCAAAAGATAAAAGAGACATTTAAAGTTTCTTGGACTGTGCTCATATTACCGGAAATTCGTTAAAGACTTTGGCCGAATTGCTAAATCCCTTCGTCGACTAACTGAAAACTGACGCCTTCTCGAACCTTCACGAACTGTCATCTAGAATATTCTTGACGGGTAATGACATTTCCAAACATTTCGGGACTATTCCATCTTCTTTTACTTGTACTTTTACTTATAACGACCGCAGCACACTATAGTGTGATGGGTGACATTGCACTTCTTTTTATATGTGTACGTTTCCTATAACGGCCGCAGGCCACTGCAGGGTGTAGTGTAACACTGTCTTTAAAAGCAAGGCTCAAAATTGAAAATTGATTTTTCATTAAATAAAAAAAATAATAAATAAACTGACTGACTGACTGACTGAATTAGCATCGATCAGTCGTGCAGTGTAAAACATTATCTCATTAACTTTACGATCAATAAAACCAAAGCATTAAAACCTAAAACCTAAAATAAAGAAAATAATGATGGTAGAAAAACAACAACAACAGAAGGCACGAAAAGCGTAAACATTAAGCAAAATGATGTTATTTAAATTTGAATTAAGGTAAAGGATACAAACATATTAACTTAATTATTCGAATATAAAAATGTGGCTAAAACAGTAATATTCCTCATAATTGAAAAAGTAGGTGTTAAAATAGTAAAAGAAAAATTGATAATTAAATAAGTAAAATAAAATAGTGTTACAGTTGAGGACCGAAATAACAGACAGTAATTTAATGCCAAGATTGCCAAGAATGTGTGATTTTTTATTTGTGCGAAAAACAGAATTTTAAGTTACATAAAAAAGAATGATTAAGTCAGACAACCAGTTCATTGTTTTTTTTTTGTTATACGTATTTGCATATTTAATACTATGAACATGTGTGAAATTTTGAAAGAGTGCAGGAATGACTACCGATGCTGTCAAACGATTCAAGTAACAATCTATTATAGAAACTATGATGACATGGAATACAACTAGTTAATTTAATATAGTAGAAAGCATCATAAATATGATTTAAAAAAATCCCGAAGAAAAATAATAAAAAAATGAGAAATCAGCAACAGAACGGTGATATTACAATTCACAACATAAGCGTTAAAAATCTTGATTTAAAATGACTAAAGCAAGAGTGAAAACTGGACTGTGCAAAGCATGAACTCATATTTACATAGCCTCTTACTTCTTCGCGACTAAGTTGATTGTCTTTGTTATTGTCGATTTCTCTAAAAACGTTGGTGTTGGTTTGTTTGGCGTCTCCGATGTTGATTAATTCTACTTCGAAGATCAAAGTCGCTTTGCCGGGAATCACGTTTCCTGCTCCTTTATCTCCGTATCCGAGGTGTGGTGGGATGGTCAGTTTACGCTTCTCTCCGACGCACATGTCGAGCAAACCTTGATCCCAACCCTTGATCACTTGTCCTACGCCGAGTTGGAAGGAGAAAGGTTGTTCCCTGTCGAAGCTGGAAAGAAAAATATTGTTTTAAAACAAATACATCATTCTAATAAACATATAAATAATTAGATGTACATTATATGGGTAAATTCTTTAGAAACAGTCAAAAATGTCTCACAGCTTCAGTGTTACATAATGACGCACAATGGAAGACAGCAGAATAACTCTTTGGAGGAAAATTGTTTACCTACTTCGATCTTGTAAGTTATTTATTTTCAAACCGGAACAGGAAAATGTTGTATATAAACTTTTGTCAGAAATTAAAACTAAATCTTAATATTGATATGATTTTAATGTGTTGTCCTTTTGTAGTTCGCCATATAACTGATATACACATTGGTACATTTTAATTTTGTATTATTTATCTTAATTTCCAACGTTTCGGCAACATTATCTTTATTATTTCCAAATATGATCGCTATTGATTTATTTGGATTCAAGTACAACTGGTGCTTTTTAGAAGCTGCTACCAGTTTCGCTAGGTAAAAAGAAAAATAAACTTGCTCATTATCCGCATAAAAGTGTACTTTAACATTTTCTAGATGGGATACTAGATTGCAAATATAAATATTAAAAAGAAGTGGCCCAAGAAAACTCCCAATAGTAACTCATAGCAAATAGTATCGAATGCCTTAGAGAAATCAAGAAAAATCAAAGCAGTGCACTTTTGTTTGTCTATTTCGGTTAAAATGTCATCAATTATATTAAGCAGTGCAGTACTACAGCTATATACACTTCGAAATCCAGATTGAAACAAAGGGAGTATTTGGTATCGATTTAAGTGAAATTTAATTTAGAAATTTATAATTTTTTCCAATATCTTTGACAGAACTGGCAGAATACTAATAGGTCGAAGATCGTTGAAATTTGTAATATCCTTCATTTTAGGAAGAGGAAGAACTTTTGCAATTTTCCTTGCATCTGGAAATACGTTACAAGTATTCACTATATAGCCAACTACAAAAGGACAACACATTAAAATCATATCAAGATTAAGAAGGTCCGGTCCTAAAGATTTAGTTTTAATTTCTAACAAAAGTTTATATATCAGGGGACTACGACATAATTCATTCAGCGTCTAGACATCTAAGAACCTACATTATTGCAAATAAAAGCTTGAAGATGTTTCCACTATGGGAATTTTGTACAAATAACCTAGTGACAATATCCCTAAAGCTAAACGGAGGAACTAATCTGATTTTTAATCTACCATATGACCAACCTGGGCTCCCCCCCCCCCCATCAAGGAGGTGAGAGAACGGGTAAGTCATTGTAAAAAAAAAACAAAATCGAACTTCTTCTAGGGTATGATGGCAATGCTCACCATATAGTATGGGGAAGCACTGACATTAATAACCGAGTAGAAGCTCTTCTGGAGCAATAAACTAGAAATTGCAAACGTTGGAAATGATCCAAACTTCGTAACATCTGTGTGAATTATTATAACCCTTTGGTATACAACGGACTTGTTCGTTGTTGGGAAAGTGGCACGTCTCAAAAGAAGCGTCACTTTCCGACCATAGGCATATCCTGTTTAATCTGGGTACAAAAACCTCGGATGTCAGAGTTTCTGACACGAACCCTAACTAACACGTTTGAAAAAAACTGCCCTTTAAAAATTAGGAAAGAAGATCGAGACACTGTATGGTGGAATCGAGACCTTTCCAAAAAAATAGCACAAGTTCGTAAACTCTTTAACCTGTCCAAAAGGTCGGGAAACTGGGAAGCCTATAAGGCGTACCGGAGATAATATGGCTATGCCATTAGGAAAGCAAGAGAAAATTCCTGAAATAAATTCTGTGACGGCATTGAAAGCATACCAGAATGTGCCAGACTTAGGAAAACTCTACAGAGAGATAAGCAAGGATGCATGGGATCTCTAAAAACCAACAAGGAGAACTCACAAAAACAGAGGAGGAGACTTTAGATTTACTACTAAAGTCACACTTTGCTGGATGTAAGATTATTCTTGACCAAGAGAACAGGAGTAACGAGGCACTAATTTCTAGGGCCTCAAAAACTAACTGGTCTCTTGCAAACTCAATAGAAAACAGAACAAAACTTGTGGACAGCTGGACCTGATGGTATAATCCCGGCAATTCTACAAAAGAGCCAGGAAGTACTGGAGGGACCACTGTGTAAACTATTCCGAGCTTGCATAGCCCTCGAATATGTTCCACAAAGCTGGAGGTGTGCAAGAGTGGTCTTCATTCCCAAACCCGGGAAAACGTCTTACGAGGAGATCAAATCTTTCAGACCAATCAGCCTAACATCATTTCTCCTAAAAACATTGATCGATATATATATATATATATATATATATATATATATATATATATATATATATATATATATATATATATATATATATATATATATATATACGGGACGATGTTCTACGGGATAAACCGATACATCGATATCAGTTTGCCTAACAATCTGGAAAGTCTTGCGATGCAGCCATGCTTAGGCTAGCTCAACAGGCTGAATAAGCAATGAAAACCAAAGAAATACCACTAGGAGTCTTCCTAGATATAGAACTCGGCTTCATACAATTCAATACTGGGATCTATGATCAGGCGTGCAGTAGCCCACTGCATTACGAGGTGGATTGAGTTCATGCTTAATCATAGAACCATTACCAGTAATCTCCTTAATACAAGAGAGGTCTCAGTTAACAAGGGATGCCCGCAGGGAGGAGTGTTATCTCCTCTTATGTGGACCTTGGTGGTTGATGACCTCTTATGGGAGTTAAAGAGATAAAACTTATACATGCAAGCATTTGCAAACGACATAACCATCGTAGTAAACGGTAAATTTGGGTATGTTGTATCCGAAAGGAAGCAGCGGGCACTAAATATCGTCGAAAGATGGTGACCAAAAGAGGGATTGTCCACAAACCCGACAAAAACCTCTGTTGTTGCATTCACAAGAAAAAGGAACCTTCAAGGAATGAAGGAGCTTTATATGTCGGAACACCATCTAAAAGAGGTTAAATATCTTGGAATTACTCTAGATGATAAGCTTAGCTCATGCAGCCATATAGAAAAACTGTATCGATAACTTAAATCACTGAATATAAATTGCTTGAGATGGGTCGTTTTTATGTAAAATTTTAATGTTACTACTTTACTAATAAAACTACAGTATATTTATCTTAGCGCGTTTTATTTAAATGGAAATATATTACCTAATAAAATTTAATGACGCTAATCAATGTTTTAGGCCTCGTCACTTTAACATTTTTATGCTCCCAGTTGATATGTGTGTGTAAAGATACCTATTGTTTCTATCAGGCTTAACAACTTTCTATTAGATCCTTCTTGGAAAAGGCCTCTGAAGGTAAATTTTACCAAATTTATATATTGGTTTATCTATTACAAATGACTTTCAAAACAAACGTTTGTTATTCATAGAGTAAGAAATAATAAAATATGTCGATACTTAATGCATATCAATTTTGTTTTATGAGATAGGTGGATCTGATTCCATATAAAATGTTTCCACAATTTTGAAAAATAAGTAACTGTCCTAATTTTTATTTTTTGACATACCCGTACATGGTAAAAAATGTGAAATTTATTCCTTAGTGGTAAGAATGCACTTTTAGGAAAATATAACGGAAGAGTCAATTGGATTTTCTTCTTGTTGAATTTCAAAAATATTAATTTCTCATGATTTAAAAACAAATACATGAAATGGCCAAAATAGGCCTACAATGGCACTTTGTGAATCTCATCTGTATCGTTGCGCGAATTTAATTTGGCTTATTTTTGTTAATAGAGACTTAAAGATACACTGATCGGGAAAATAAATACGAAAAAAATTAACTGGCTCCTGGACTAGTACTGTATCGAAGGAATTTTATAAATGAAGCAAATCTGCGACCCTACTTACAAATACTACAATAGCAGTCGAGCCTAGTTACGCTTTTGTCAGATATACATTTTTTGGATAATTTAAAGACCAAACAGTATTGCAAGCAAACGAAATTACATTACCACAGTTAAAAACATCGCAAACTTGGCATCAATGTTTTATCCAAATATTGCTTTTCTGCCGAGGATCATCCGCGTTGGCTTCAGAACTTTAGTAAATAATCATATCTGTATTGGTTATATATCTATGACATCAACCAACATTGTCCCTCGTATATGGATTTTGTCTATGTGGCCGCACGAAAATACTGTGTTATCACAAACAATTACTCACAAAAAGTTTCAAGATACAGGATTTAAGTTATGCGTTATTTACTTAAAACTCAGTACTTTTATCCATCGGGTAGCTGTTTATTATTCCATTAGTCCCTTTTCCTATACAATGCCTTCATGAACTTTTCAAGAACTTCCTCCATCTATACGAAGTAACGATAATACTAAAACAGCGCCGCGGGCGTAGTCTACTCCATTCATTTTTATAAACTCGACAAATTTTCGAGTTTTGGACGTTAAAATTATAATCGTATCGTTCCCCGATGGAAAAACCTCGAGCGACAAAAGTTTCCAAAATTAAGAAAATACAGTAACAGCCGACGATAAGGCCTTTCTTGAAAAAAAGCCCGTTTAATATTTAACTATGTCTCCCGTTGCGTAACGACGGCATAGGGAATAAAGGACCAACGAAACTTTATAACATCCAGAGAGTCGATTTTTTGCTTCCGATACAGTGGCATGACACCAGGATCGAAGTGCTTAACTCGTTTTCTTTGTGACTTCCACAGCGAACCCAATTATTAATTAATTACATTTAGTACAGTGGCATGACGCAAGGATTTATACATTTAAGTTCACTTGGTAAAAGTAATTTATATATTTACCAAATCAGTTGCAATTTACAAATGTGTCTCAGTGAAACTTTGAAATCTAGGGGCCCTATTCTCGAATGTCTATTTCTAAATTTCACACTCGGCATTGATGAGCAAACATGCATTCTTAAATGGCGAATTCGATATCCGATGTTAGACATAAAGTCGAGTGGTATTCAACCAGTGGACATTTTAATGCGCAT